AAAGGGGGGAAAAGGTGGAGTTTTACTCTTTCCTCCCCATCCGGTCCAGGAGCTGCAGGAAGCGCACTTGGAATGAGCAGCTCTGCTCTGCCCCTTCCTCCCCTCCTGCCTCCGAGCTCTCCAGGACCAGAGCTGGGTCCTGCAAGGGCAAAGGGGGTGCTCAGCTTTGAGTGGAGACCCGGAGCCCGCCTGCCTTCACACCTCACCTGCCAGCTGTGTGGATGAGCATCCCTGCATCCCTGACATGCACAGAGCGCAGCGGTGGTGGTGGAGGCAGGAGACCCCCTGCGAGCAGACAGCGTGCTGCTTCCCCACGTCCCTGCTCCTCGGGAGCAAGGGCAGGGCAGGATGTGAACTAGAGCCTGCAGTGCTCCAGGAGGGCTGGAAATGGGATGGGGGGGGTCTGACACGGCTCCTTCCCACAGCCTGGCACCAGGCTCCTGCACACAGGGTCTGTCTATAGCACCCAGCACTCCCTGGGTCCCCATGGACCAGAGCTGTGGGTACACTCAACTGGGGGTGTTTTAGTGCTTGTTTCAGTGATTGTCCCCATGTCCATGTGTCACCGCTGCTGTCCCCAGCATGGCAGTGCCATGGGTGGGAGCTTGTTGCAACCTGCTGTGGGGCTGGGGCAGACGGACAGGAGCCCGATGGTCCCCAGAAGGGTGGAACAGAGCTGAGCTCTACGATGAGCTCAGCCCTAAGAACTCATCTCAGTCTCCCCTCGGGCAGGTTAAAGCCATTCCCCTTGGCCTCTCCCTACAGGCCCTTGTCCCAAGCCCCTCTCCAGGTTTCCTGCAGCCCCTTCAGGCACTGGAGCTGGGTCATGGGGAGCTTCTCATTGACCAACAGCCCCAAGTGTTTCTGCCCAGGCTGCTCCATCCCCTCTCTCCTATCCCCCTTTGCTGGGGAGGGAGGAACTCCCAGGATAGAGGTCAGGCTGAGCACAGCGAGGGCTCCCTCCTCCTGCCCCTATGGGAAGGCCACCAGCACACGAGGACCATGTCCCCTGCCCCAACACGTTGGTCTGGCGAGCCCCATGTCCTGACATGAGAGCTGCAGGTAAAGCCCTGGCGTGTCACAACCAGCCCTTGCCCTGGCAGGGAGCCCTGACGTGCCAGGGAGATGGTTACTCCATGAGGAAAGGAGACACACGCGTGGTTAGGAGACACCACACACATCCCAGCACCCATCGGAGCTCCCTGCTCTGGTCCCCCTGCGGCAGGGTGACGGTTTCAGCCTCACACCAGCCCCAGTGCCCATCACCGGCAGCCACCACATCCAGGAGCAGATGAGCGGCCAGGCTAGGAAATGAAAGTCACGCTCAAGGAAGCCACAGCAAACCTCTTCCCACTGCTGGGAACCTGTTCCCACAGCCTCTGGCATTTGCTGGCACCACCAGACCTGACCCCGCAGCCCATCCTGTTGGCACACAGCTTCCTGGGAGGAGAACGATGCTCCTCATTGGCATGAGATGGAGAAGTGGTGTGGAGAGCTCAGAGCAGCTTCCAGGGTCTGAAGGGGGCTACAAGGATGTGGAGAGGGACTCTTCATCAGGGACTGTAGTGATAGAACAAGGGGTGATGGGTTCAGACAAACAGGAGAAGCTGAGGTTGGATGTAAGGCAGAAGCTCTTCCCTGTGAGGGTGCTGAGGCGCTGGCACAGGGTGCCCAGAGAAGCTGTGGCTGCCCCATCCCTGGCAGTGTTCAAGGGCAGGTTGGACACAGGGGCTTGGAGCAAGCTGCTCTAGTGGAAGGTGTCCCTGCCCGTGGCAGGGGTTGGAGCTGGATCAGTTTTAAGGTCCCATCCCAAACCAGGCTGGGATGCTGTCAGGGATACGCAGCCACTGCTGCCTGGCAGGCACTGCAGGGAGAAGGCTGTGGGATTGAGGCTCGGTGTCACCAATGCCACCACTGTGTGGGCTGGCATCTGCACAGGTCCCACCCCAAGTTCACAGCTGCTTTAGTCAGTAATTAAGGAGCTGGCAACTCCCTGGGAATGCCAGAGCAAGGTGTGAGCTCCCAGGGACCCTCCCTGCGCTGCCACCCACCTCCCCATCCCACCCAGCACATCCTGCAGCAGCCCTGCGCTCTCCCAGGACCAGGGGCAGAGCCACCCAGCTCCTGCCTGCCGTGCTCCACCTCACCCCCTAGAGAAGGGATCCACGGGGCTCGGACACACGAGGGAAGAGCTTCACTTAGCCCCTTGCTGATGGCACCCATTGCCCTGGACAGGAGGGGTCTGCGCAAACCCAAAGGCACCCGGTGACATCTCAGCTTCCCCACCCCATCCCTGCCAGCCTCGTGTCCCCAGGGATGGTGCCTGTGCTGGGCATCATTGAGAAAGGAGGAGAGCCCAGGCCCTGAGTTGGGAGCAACTCCTAACCCACGTTTGGGAGGAAGAGGAGGAGGAGAAGGGCAGCCCGAGGGTGTTAGCAAAGAGCTGGGTGAGTCAGGCCAGGACAATGTCTCAAGCAGGGCAGCAGGAGGAAGCACGTAGGGGTCACAGAGACTCGAGAGAAAAGGATGCAGGAGCTGCAGCAGCACTGCCTTAAAACCACCCCAGTGTAGATCCCAGCCCTGGGCTGCCCCATCAGCCACAGTGCAGGGATACTGGCACAGTGCAGGGAGTCAGGGATGTGCAGCAGAGCAACAGCAGTGGGGGGAAAAAAACATGGAACCATGGAATGGTTTGGGTTGGAAGGGACCCTAAAGCTCCTCCATCTCCAACCCCTGCCGCGGGCAGGGACCCCTTCCACTAGAGCAGCTTGCTCCAAGCCCCTGTGTCCAACCTGGCCTTGAACACTGCCAGGGATGGGGCAGCCACAGCTTCTCTGGGCACCCTGTGCCAGCGCCTCAGCACCCTCACGGGGAAGGCAGGTCTCTCTCCTGCCTTAGCCCACCTGCAGCGCTCATCCCACAGCTCCCAGTGGGATCTGAATGAGGCTCTCCCCATGTCCCCACTGCCCAGGGCTTGCTGCTGGTGGAAGGGGCTGCAATCACAGGGAGCATTGCCAAGCCCTGAGTCCCCATCCCTGCTGCAATCAGGGGCCACAGCAGCCTGGAAGCTCCTCCAAGCTCCCGATAGGACAACCAGGAGAAGCCCTTGGAGAGGGGATGGATCCATCCCCAGCAGCCGCAGGAGAACAGGCCGAGCCAGGCAGGAAAGCCTGGAGTTCTCCCTGCACATTGCTTTGCATTCTGACAGCAAGTCCTGCCTTGCCTGGTGGGTTCTGGCTCCTCCCAGCTCTGGGGCTTTCACCCAGCAAGGAGCCTCTGTGCTCAATGAACCCAGTGCCTCCAGTATCTCCCACAGAGGTTTCCCAGTGCAGGAGGGTCTCCCCTACCCACCTGGAACCTCAGGAGCTGCAGCACGGCACAGGACATGCACCAGCCCCATCCCCATCATCCAATTTCCCTGGAATCCTGTTTTCCCCATGAGAACTCATCTGCACCCCCCCAGTGCAACCGCTCGGTCCCTGCCAGGCTGCAACCATCCACCTTGACCTTCAAACACGTCATTTCTGGCCCAGCGGACACAGATTCCTGCATAGTTATTCCTTGTTATTCTTTGGGATTCAGATCACGGGGCTTGGACAGGGAGCGATCTATGCACAGTTAAAGGAAGTTTCGGGATGTGCTTTGAACCCGATGCAGTGAGCAGCAGGGCTGAGCCGGCGCTGGAACAACCCCATTGAGCTTCAACTGTGCAACACACGAACCCCATAGCGAGTTCCAAACCCTCCTCCAGAGCTCACAAACCTGCTGGCACCCTGTTGAGCCACATACCACGGCAGCATTCCTGCCAACCAGCCCGCACGGCATGGCCCATGGGCCCCATCGCACACCGGGTCCGTGCACCGGTGCCACCACAGCCACCCCACGCTGCTCCATCAACACCAGCCCCTGGGGATAAAGGACTCCAGAGCCGCTCCCATGGCTTTATGGTGGAGATAAAGATAGAACAGAGGCACCTCCAAACCCTCGGCACACCCCAGCCATTGAGCTCGCTGCACAAGGTCCAGCACAAAGCCACCGGCCAAGGTGCGGCTTCCCTGTGGGGCTGCCTATAGGGTTTTCAGCCCGGGGAGCTGGAACTGGAGCCGGAGCGTGGCAGGGAAGGGCTGGGAGGTCAGGTCCTGCCTGCTCGGGAGCCCTGGGGAGCACAGCACAAGTGACGCAGAGCGGCTTGGCAGGGGTGGCCCCACTTACAGGGGTCAAGTCAGTCACCAATGAGACACCCCGGGCACCCTCCCCGCCCCAATCCCACTGCACATTAAGCCGTAATTCCACGTTCGGCGATTCCCAGGCAGTTCCCAGGCTGCACGGAGCACACATCCTGTGCCGGGGGCAGAGACGCCCGGGCCCTCAATGAGCACATTGTCACCCTTCCCCGTCCCACAGCGTTTGGTGGGGGCCGCGCCGAGCCCTGCCTATGCACAGGGGTACCCCAAGGGTGCAGCCGAACCCTTCCCTCCACCCCAAACCCCCCTTGCGAAGTGCTTCCCTAGGGATTCCCCAGCACTGCTAAGGGGGAGAAAGTTCATCTGCCGGCCCAGCCCCAGCGAATCCCACGCTGACAGTGGTTTCCCGGCACAGGACCCGGCTTGCCAGCACCAATCCGGAGCCCGGCTCCTCGCCTTCCCTCCCCGCAGCCCGGGGAAGCTCAAGCGCAGGAACACCGGAGCCAACACAAACACCCTCGGCACAACCCAGCCCTTCAGCTGGGAAGCAGACAGGCACTTCGGGTTATCCCCCCCACCCCCGCCTCGCTCCGGGATGTGTCCAGCCATGGGATAGGCGAAAACACAGGGAAAATGCAACGTGGTGGGAAGAGGAACTAAAAAAAAAGGGAGGCGAGAAAAATAAGGAAGTTTGAAGTGTGGGAAAGAGGGGAAGAGGAGGCGGGGGGCTCGCGGGAACACGGGGAAAAGGGGGGGATTGAAGAGAGGGATGGGGAGAGCCCGAATGGGATGAGAGGAGCGGGGTCGGGAGCTCACCGGCGATGTGCTGGCGGCGACCCTCGTCCAGGTGCGTGGAGACCACATCTCCCATGGCGAGCGGAGCCGGGCCGGGGCGGGCGAGGAGGAGGAGGAGGAGGAGGAAGGCAGCGCCCAGGGCGGTCCAGGCAGCGCGGCGCCCCACCGACCCGCTGCCACTCCCCCTTGCACCGCCCCTTGCAAAGCGTCAGCGAGAGTGTTCCAGGATCCCAGCCTGGTTTGTGTTGGAAGGGACCTGAAAGCTCCTCCAGCTCCAGCCCCTGCCACGGGCAGGGACCCCTTCCACTAGAGCAGCTTGCTCCAAGCCCCTGTGTCCAACCTGGCCTTGAACACTGCCAGGGATGGGGCAGCCACAGCTTCTCTGGGCACCCTGGGCCAGGAAAAACACTGGAATACAAAAATTGCAATAAATAGCTTCGGAACAATTTTCTCTTTGAAATGACTTCCAGGGTGTGGAGAGGGCTCATGTGCGGTGGCATCCTCGGGGTGAAACCCAGCCCAGCTCCGGCAGCACCCGGCTGCAGCCAGGACCAAGCCCCCTGGCTCCTATGGGTGCTGGGGCTGACACAGGTGATATCTGGGTGCTGTCCTGATGCCCTTCAGCCTCCTTTTTGCCTTTAGCAGAGCCCAGCTTGCCCTGGCAGCACCCAGATCCCTCCCTGCTCAGGCGGATGCTTGGTCCTATGGCAGCACCCTGGCACGGTGATGGGGGGGGGAAAGACCCTCAGCGCCCACCGGGGTGCGCTGGGCAGTGGGTGAGCACATCTCAGCGGCAGGGAGAAGGCGTGAGCAGCCCCCATCCCCTCCCCATCTCAGCAGCCGACCACTAAAGAACTTCCTACTATCTCCTCTCAATCTCCCCTCTTCCAGCTTCAAGCCATTCCCTTGTCCTATCAGTACATGCCCCTGTAAAAGCTCCTCTCCCTGCCCCGCCTTGTAATTATCTGCTCTAATTAGCTCATTGGGGCACGGAGTTGTACCCCCCCCCCCCCATCACCACCACCTTCCATGCCCGCTCCTGATGCCGTGTGCCCGCACCGCAGGGCCCCGCGCCAGCTCCTACGGCTGCCGGCGCCAGGCAAACGAGCTCCGGCTGCTTGGCACCGGCCCCCTCCGCGCCTCACATTGCTCCATGGGCCGATTGCAACACCGGCTCCTCCCTCTGCTACCTGCGCTCACACCCAGCCATGGGAAGGCTGAGGGTGGCGTTGGGAGCGGGATGGGGCAGAGCGGGATGCAGGTGAAGGGCCCCTCTCCCTCGTCGTGCGGGAGAATGGGATGGGAAAACTAAGTTGCCTTAAACCAGTCCCCACAGAGACCGAACCACATATTTCGGACCCCTGTTTGGCATCATTCTTCCGTAGTGGGGGAAGCCAGGAGCAGGCTGGCATCACTGGGGAGCAGGAGGGCACGCTCCAAGTGGGGTACCAGGACCAGTAACGCTTCATCAGTACAGCACATGCTGGATCCGCGGGCTGAGCTCTCAGGCCCAGCGAGGGAAGCAGCCGAGGAGCTGGAGGAAGCGCTGGAAAAACTCCTCCTTCCTCTCCTGTTGCTGCAGCTCCTCTCCCGAGAGCAACAAGCGGAAACAGCCCGCACAGGATCCCCCGGCGCTGCCTGGGCATGATCCGGCCGGAGGAAAGGCCTCGCCTGCATCATTCCCAGCCCCTGGGCACAGCGCAGAGCCCGGTGTGACCGAGGGAGGAAGAGGAGGAGGAGGAGGAGGAAGGGGGAAGACGTGGTGGTGTGGCCAGAAAGTTCAGTCTGCTCCCAGCTGCAGGGTGGCCCCGGGTTGTTGCTGCCGAGATGGATCCATCCCTTGGGATCACAGGTCCATAGCTGCTTCCAGAGCATCAGCCTTGGCTGGTGGCTCACCCGTGGCCAGGTTGCTTGGCTCTGGGGCTGTGCAGGGAATCTTTTCCTGGGCTGGGCTGTTTACCCGGCAGTGGGAAGGAGGAGTGGAGGTGGCCAGCCTGGAGCGAGGCATCCTGTTTATCCTGCCTGAAATAGCTCTTGGCCAGCCACAGGCGGCCCCGATGTGGAGGGGATGGAGGCTGCTCACACCTCTCCCTGCAGCTCCGATGTGCCCAGCACATTGAGGAGGACACCGGGGGTCCTTCCCCCCTGCAGCCGTGGCAGGGTGCTGCCAGCCTGGGACCAAGCATCCTCCCGAGCACGGAGGGTTCTGGGTGCTGCCATGGCAGGCTGGGCTCTGCTAAAGGCAAAATAGGAGGCTAAAGGACATCAGGACAGCACCCAGATGTCACCTGTGTCAGCCCCAGCACCCATGGGAGTGAGGAGATTGAGTGTGGGCTGTGACCAGAGGCTGGGCTCACCCCTGAGGTTGCCACCGCACATCAGCCCACCCCATCCGAACACAGGTTCTCTACCCCTGCGAGTCACTTCAAAGGGTAAATGGCTTCAGTGCTGAAGTATTTATTCCAGTGTTTCTATCCCAGCATTTCCACTGGCACAGGGTGCCCAGGGAAGCTGTGGCTGCCCCATCCCTGGCAGTGTTCAAGGCCAGGTTGGACACAGGGGCTTGGAGCAAGCTGCTCTAGTGGAAGGTGTCCCTGCCCGTGGCAGGGGTTGGAGCTGAGTGAGCTTTAAGGTCCCTTCCAACACAAACCAGGCTGGGATTCTGTGATTTACCTTTTTCTCTGTGTGGTGCCCATCAGAAGCCTTTTCCCTGAGCACTGGGCTTGTTTGCAGGTTGTTTCCCTGGCCAAAACACTGCTGAGATCAAGAGATTCCCCTGGGAAGAGCTACAGCAAAATCTCCTTGAAAATAGAAAATCTTTCCACCAGAGGCTTTTGAACACTGATCGCAGAGGAGTCTGGCTCTGAATTCATTCAGAAGTCAGCCTTAGTGGGGTGAGGGCATTTTATAGGTGGGAGGACATGCATCCACCTCCCTCAAATGAAGAAAAACAAACAGGGAATAGCCACCCATGGTACCCAGTTCATGATCAGAAACCAAGCATCATTTCTTTAATAGCACTGGAGTATGCTTCAGGCACTGCACACACAGCCCTGCTAACCAGACCAAGTACATGGCATAACCCTTAGCTTTGCAAAGCCAATCCTAAACAACCCCTGTCAGCACAGGAGCACTGCACGCTGAGCATGGGGCAGCCACAGCTCCTCTGGGCACCCTCAGCACCCTCCCAGGGAAGAGCTTCTGCCTAAGAGCTCATCTCAGTCTCCCCTCTGGCAGGTTAAAGCCATTCCCCTTGGCCTGTCCCTACATCCCTTGTCCCAAGCCCCTCTCCAGCTTTCCTGCAGCCCCTTTAGGCACTGGAGCTGCTCTAAGGTCTCCCCTTCAGGAGCCTTCTCCAGGCTGACCCAGCCCAGCTCTGTCAGCCTGGCTCCAGAGCAGAGCTGCTCCAGCCCTTGCAGCATCTCCGTGGCCTCCTCTGGACTCAAGCCCATGGCAGGGGTTGGATCGGGGTGATCTTTAAGGTCCCTTCCAACCTGAACCATTCCGGGATTCAATGAGCTGGTGCACAAGTCCACCATGATGAGCAGAGTACTTCAAACCTCTCCTTCACCATCCTGGGGACCCAGCACATCTCCTGGTCTCTCTCAATGCCCCAATCCATGTATGTGAGGGAGCATTTAAGAAGCTGATTCCTTGGTGTATTTCCATGCTTATAGCAGTAAACCAAACCTGCCACTTCAGCTGGTCCCTCTGGATTTGGTACCCACGCATCACCCCAGCCATCAGCATCGCAGAGTAAATCTGACCTCTCAGCAGCAACGCTGCAGAGCACCCAGAACATGGTGCTATCACCTACCACATGCTGAATTCCTGCAAGCACTAAACACAGGGGTACGTTGCAGGAGAAAGCTTTCAGCCTGGTATTTATTTCCCTTTCTCTGTCATAAGGAGCAATCAGTGGAGTTTTCCTTTCACTCTCATTGACCCTGGGACAAGGATCTGTTTCCACCTCCCTGCATCACCAGGAAACCTGATCGTTTTGGGGGTGCTTTAGGGAGGGAGATGCAGTTTTCAGGGTGTCCTTTGCAGACAGAGCTGCTTGCATCCCTGCAGTGACCCTGGCAGCCAGGGTCGGGTCCCATCCATGGGGAATGGGCACATTCAAACACAGCCGGGGTCACCTCAAGGCCTCAAAGGTGCATAAGACCCATCCTTATTCAGGGATCTGCTGTGGTGCGGGGTCAGAGAGGGCAAAGAGGGAAAAGCTCCTGGCAAGCGGGTGTGAACGTGTCCTGCTCGTGCCCTGGGAGCTGCTGGCCTCCATGGAACCGGTATGGGTGCCATTAACAGCTGTGTAATTGCAGCAGTAAACCCGCCTTGTGCTGATAAAGCAGCGGCAGCTCTGCCTGTCCCTTTGGATCAGCAGTGCTGCGTGTGGGGATGTGCCCCATGGGCTGTTGCACCCCCAGTCCCGCTGACTCCAGCGGGATTTGCTGTGCCAGAGCAGCGATCCCACACAACAGGGCGATTAGGGAATGCTGGCTCAGAGCTGCTGCGGCCCGTTGGTCCTGCATCGGAGCCAGAGCCCATGAAGCACATCCAGCCCCAGCCACGCAACGGGATGGAGGGAGCAGCTCAAATCCCTGCCTTGCCTGGGGGGACCCTGCAAAGCACCCTCCAGCCAGTGCCAGGGGCTGTGGGGCAGCCCAGGGTCGGGGTGAGCACTTGGGGGGCACAGCCCTTCATGGGTCAGCACCCACCTGCCGGACCGCAGCCGCTGCGCTAACCCGGGCACGGGTGGAGAAGGAGGGTGCTGTGGATCAGCATTCCCCTCTCCTGGATCAGCGTTCCCCTCTCCTGGATCAGCGTTCCCCTCTCCTGGGTCAGCATTCCCCTCTCCTGGATCAGCATTCCCCTCTGCTGGTGGCGACTGGGATAACTGGGAGCCTGCAGGCAGGGGGGCTGCGGAGGGTGCGACAACATTGACTGCACCGGCACAGCATGGGCACGGGTATGGGCCGTGGGAATGGGAGCCAGCATGGCATGGGCATGGACACCGGCATGGCATGGACACTGGAATGGGGTGTGGGAACGGGCATGGGCATGGGCATAAGCACCAGCATGAGCCCTGGCATAGGCATGAAGTGTGGTAATGGGAAGCAGCATGGACACCAGCATGGCATGGGTCTGGGGGCAGGCTCTGGAATGCCATAGGGTGTGGGAATGGGAGCCAGCATGGCATGGACAGTGGCATGGGGTCTGGGGATAGGCACCAGCATATCATGGGCATGGGGCATGGGGCATGGGAATGGGAGCCAGCATGGCATGGGCATGGACACTGGAATGAGGTGTGGGAATGGGCACTGGCATAAGCACCAGCATGGGCACTGACATAGGCATAAAGCACGGGAATGGGAAGCAGCATGGACACCGGCATGGCATGGGTCTGGGGACAGTTACCAGCATGGCATGGAATGTGGGAATGGGCACAAGCATGGACACCAGCATGGGGTCTGGGGACAGGCACTGGCATGGGCAGGGTGTGCAGGAATGGGCACCAGCATGGCATGGGCATGGCAAAGAGCCTGTCTGCCTCGGGCAGCGGCACCAGCATGGGCAGGAGGTGTGGGAACAGGCACAGACACAGGCACGGGCACAGGCACCAGCACGGGGTGCTGGCACCAGGATCATGGGATGTTTGAATGGACACCGGCAAGGGGCACGTCTGTGGGAATGGGAATGGCATGTACATGGGAATGCGGCATGGGAATGGGGAATGGCATGCTTGCAGGATGCTGTGGGAATGATGGTCTCACCCTTTTGGCCTCTGGGGGTTATTCCTGGCATGGATCAGGCCAGGATGCAGCCCTGGCTCTGCCTCTTACTGTGAAGTGTGGGCTTCCGACCTGTGGGTCCTGCCCCACTTCCAGACCCAGGGCAGGGATGGGGCATCACATCACACAAGGCCTGGTGCTGGGTCACTGCAGCCACTGCTGGGGCATTTGCACTGGGGAAAGGAAATGAAGCCTATGTCTGAGCAATGGGAACAGCTGGGAAAACCCAAAGCACAACGCCTGGGCCCTGCTCGCCCCCAGAGCAATCATCACCCTCACTGCCTCCAGCAGGAGCACTTGGGGATTGTTAACTCCACTCATGGGGATGAAAGTAATGGGTGGCCCTGCAGCCACCTTCCCTTGGGACACATTCTGAGGCCCGGATGCCTTAGGAGAGGATCAGCAAGGAGGGGTCAGGATGTGGCCCCAGGGCTCAAGTGTCTCCTCCATCATCCCCTCAGTGCCACAAACATCCTCAAACTTGTCTGTCAGGAAACTGGCTCCCTCCAACCTCTTGCCCCTGAGACCCACCCTTGTCTCCCATCCCAGCTCCATCCATCGCTTAGGCAGTGTTAAACCCCACACCATCAGTGCTGCTCCCTGCAGAGCTCCCACCTGCCAGACCCCACTTCACATCACTTGGACCAACCCAGTACAGGATGGAGCGAGGGGAGCAGCAACCACATCCCCGCCATGTGCCCAGGCCAAGCATCCCTGAGGAAGGGACCCCCATCACGGGACCCCCAGCAGACGGCCCCTGCTCCCTACACGTGCTGTATCCTTGCCCCACACAAGCGATGCTCGTCCTCACAGGAAGACTGACGGGGCGCTGGGAAAGCCAAATAAATACCTCGCTCTTAAATAGCTGCTGTATTTATAGCCTGCGCTTGGCACGGAGTCCAGGGCTCTGACAAACTCCACTCCAGCTGAGCTGAAAGGAAGCATTGGAGAGAACAGGTTTTACAGCAAAGGATCCAGACGCGCGTCTGCACAGTGCAGGGCTGCTGGGAACGCGCGTGGCTGGGATGGAGCACGGGACCTCATCCCAGTCCCGTCCCCATGGACCCGCCTTTGCTGTCCTGTGGCCCCGCATCCTGCTTCACTTCTAAGTGATGTGGTGAGCATATCCGTATGGGCATACATAGACACACATACATACATATATATATTAAAAATTAATATAAATTATGTATATGGATATAGATGTAGATATACAGGTATAGATACATAGGTATAGATATATAAGTATAGATACATCTATATAGATATATAGATACAGGGTCCAGAGGATGCCATGGAGATGCTGCAAGGGCTGGAGCAGCTCTGCTCTGGAGCCAGGCTGAGGGAGCTGGGCTGGGGCAGCCTGGAGAAGGCTCCTGAAGGGGAGACCTGAGAGCAGCTCCAGTGCCTGAAGGGGCTGCAGGAAAGCTGGAGAGGGGCTTGGGACAAGGGATGTAGGGACAGGCCAAGGGGAATGGCTTTAACCTGCCCGAGGGGAGACTGAGATGAGCTCTTAGGCAGAAGCTCTTCCCTGTGAGGGTGCTGAGGCGCTGGCACAGGGTGCCCAGAGAAGCTGTGGCTGCCCCATCCCTGGCAGTGTTCAAGGCCAGGTTGGACACAGGGGCTTGGAGCAAGCTGCTCTAGTGGAAGGTGTCCCTGCCCGTGGCAGGGGTTGGGGCTGGATGAACTTTAAGGTCCCTTCAACCCAAACCACCCCGTGGCTCCATGGTGCACACACCCGGGCACATCCCCTCATCTCCAGCCATGTGCTCCCATCCCCTCCTTCCCCATTCCCCGGCTTTCCCCCACCCCGGTTCGCGTTGTTGTTCTCTGTGCCGGCCCCAGGGGGCGCTCCGCTGCGGCGAGCGAGGGGCGGGGCCAAGTGACGCAGGTCCCGCCCCCCGCGCGCGCGGTCAGCTAAGCCCCGCCCCTTCCCCTCTCTCCCCCCCCCCTCTCCCCGCTCTCCCCCCCCCCCTCCCGCCGCAGCCACCCGCAGCCTCACCCGGCTCCGGTGCGTGCGGGTCCCCCCCCCCCACATCCATCCCCCAGCCCCAGCCGCTGCACCCCCCCCCCCCCGGAGCCATGGCCCCCATCGGACTCAAGGCTGTGGTGGGAGAAAGTAAGATCCGCGTCCGGTCCGCCGCGGGGGGGGTGGGGGTGTCACAATAACGGGGTTCAGGACCCCCCCCTTTTACCGCGGGGGGGGGGGGGATGCTGCGGGTGCGCACTGTGGACCTTCGGGACGGCATCAGCGCCTTGGGGGGGGGGGGCACACAGGGGACCCCCCCATGGGGCAGGCGGCAGGACATGGGGACAGGGCGGCTCGATTGGGGTTTGCTGCCCCCCCCCCCCGTTTTTATTCATTTTGGGGGGTTTTGGGGTTTTTCTGCAGTGCTGAGGGGAGGGGACAAGGGGGGGGGGTGGAAAACGGAGGGTGGGGGTAGAGGGAAGCGAAAGGCGCTTGAATCTGCTCCCCCCCCCCAGCTCCTAAAGGCCGAGGGGCGATCGCATGATGGGGAAAAGCCGCTCGCCCCCGTCTCGGGGGGGGTCTGAGCACGGCCGGGGGGGGCCGTTGCTTCAGGCCTCTCGCTTTGTCCGCAGCGAGCCCGCTTCCAGCGGTTTTCCTTATGGATATCGGTGTTTTCCCGGCCGCGGCTCCGCTTCCTTGTTCCCGGGGGCGGGATGCGCCCCCCCCCCCTTCCCCCTTTAACCCCCTAAATCCCCCTTTCCCACGGGCATTGCCCCTCGGGTCCCGGTCCTGCGGCGGTTCCGGGCCCCGCGATCGCTTCCTTCCTGCAGCCGCTGTTTGCAACGTCTCCATTTGGGGGGGAGGAGAGGGGGGGTCCCAAAACGCTCCAGGCTGGAAGCAGGGGGGGGGGGGAATGGGGGGTCCCTTCCAAAGGGCAAATTAAAGCGACCCCCCCCGTATTTATTTATACGTAAATTGGGCTGAAACCGAGAGGAGAAAGGGCAGGAACCGGTGAAACTTCCCCGTGCTCCCCGCAGCCATGAAAAGCCGCTCTCGTCCCTCCCCGCGCCTCCTGCGGGATTTATTTCCGTGGCAGCCGGGCCCGGATTCCTGTGTTTTTGGGGATGGGGGGGCGGTATTTGGGGTGTAATCGGGGGGGGGGGGTGTATGTGTTGTATGTGTGTGGCTGTGGGTGACATCCCCGCGGTGGGGATGCGGATGGTGCAGCCGGGGCTGGTGGTGTGATCGGGTGGGTGGTGATGCGATGGGAAAGGGGAGGGGGGGGGATCCCCCTGGATGGATGGCCCTGCTTTGTTCCCAGGCATCACCCTGCCTCAAGGATGGGGGGGTTGAGCCGTTCCCTCCTCAGCATCGTCACCCTGGGGTGCTGCGCTGGGGGTCTGAGCCCATCCGGCTGGAAAAGCAAAGGGAAAAGGCGAGGGAAGGGTTGTTTCGCTGCTGCAGGATGAGCTTTGGGGAGGAGGGATGTTGGCTCTTTGCTGGGTTTGCTTTTGGAGGGGTCCCCTAACCTCCTGCCATCCACCCGCTCCCAGGCCCCATCCAGGTCTCCCAGTGCCCTCCTGAAAGAGGGGACAGGGACCAGCTCCTTTGCACATCCCTTATTCCATTCATTGTCTCTGCGCTGGAATAGGCTGGGGGAGAGCAACACACACACACACACATCATGGAAATCTGCCTCCATCCTCCCCTTCAGGGTAACAAACTGCTCCGTGCTTCCCTGAAAAATCTCATTCCAGACTGGAAGTGACAACTGGGAGCTGGGCATCAGGGAAGCGGGGGTGTTGGGAAGGAGGGAGCAGGGATGTGCAGGGAAAATGCTGCAGAGGAGTGAGCGACAGGGCCCCTGAGGAGCACCCTGCGGGCTCCAGCCTTCCCACCCCTCCTCGGGCTCCCATGGGAAGCTCCTGGCCTTGGTGGGTCCGTGCCTGCCTTGAGGTGCTGTTTTCAGCTGGAGTCAGGAGCAGGGTACCAGGACCTCCCCCACTGGGCACCAATGCGGATGGCACACGGCTCTCCCCCACTGCACCAGCCTGCTCTAAAGGGATTCCCAAAGGTTTTCCTGTAGAAGATGCTCCTAAGGAGCAAGAGGTCCAAGCCTGGGGCTGACCCCCAGGGCAGGGTATCTCCCCCATGGACAGAGGGAGGGAAAGCTGGATGGATGCTGCCGTGTTGTCATGGCTCGCTCTGCCAGGCCCCCCCTCCGTCACTGCATTCTGCCCTGGCTTCCCTCCAGACCTGGATTATTCCTCTGACCAGCTGGTGCCACAGCAGGGTTTGGAGGCCCCTGAAGAGGTGGGAAGGGAGATGAGGTGGGTGAGTGTTGCAGGAGATGGGCAGAATCAGATTGTCCCCCCCCATAGAGCCATGGGGTGCGGGCTGGGGGTGTCCCTGCGCCTCCCCGCAGCATCCATCAGGGATGGCTGCATCCCTTCAGGACTTGCTTTCCTTCAGCTGGGGTCAGAGCTGAGTGCGATGCCCAAGGACCAGATCCTCCTGTTGTGCTTCTGCTCCCTCTGCAGCCACCTCCGAAGCACCCCACTGGAGAGCCAGTCCCTTTGCTCTGCTTCTGGTTTGCAAAACCTCATCCAAGCATGGAGCTGATCCCCGTTCCGAGCCCCCCCATCCCCACATCTTCCTCTAACCCCTATCACATTCACATTCCCCATCCTCTCTTGCCTCAGGGCCTCCTTGCACCTCCTTGCCCTGAGCTTCCCTTGCCCAGGCTGGTCCCTGCTCTCCTGCAGCACCCTGCAGTGGAGAGGAGGAGGAGGAGGAGGCAGCTGGGTTTTACTTCACTGAACCATCACCAAGCCGGGCCTGCTGCAGGGGTGACACCCGCACGGTGCCTGCCACCGCCATGGGCTGGTGCAAGACACGCAGCTGGAGTGATGCCCACAATGGATCTGACCCCCCCGGGCCCCTGCAAGAGGAGAGAAACCTCCCCAAGGCTTCTTCCTTTTGCTGACGATGCTGTCATGGACAGATGGGAGAAGCAGAGCAGCCCTGGGATAAGGGAGAACCCTGCTCCCTTCTGGAGACAGCAGGGAAACACCTTTCCCCCAGGACAGGAGCTGATCTTCCTACGGAGCATCCTTGCTCTACAGCCTCCTGTGCTGGAGTGCTGCCTGCCAGAGCCCCACCGAGGAGCCCCATGGTTAAATCCTACCTGGATGAGGTCTGATGGGCCCGTAGCACCCATGTAACAGCTGCATGGTGCCACCCAGTGTCCCCATCTGAACCTCTCAGGGGTCCACAATGGGACGTGATGACTTGTGGATGCAGGCTCCTTCTGAGCTGCACATGAGGTGCTGCACCTCCAGGGACAGGGGTGAAGCACAGGCAGGGGCCATGGGGACCCACTGCCAGTTGCTGGTGTGTCATTCCCCCAGGATGCATGGGGCACCCCATAGCTCCCACCACCCCTGTGCCAAGGGCACAGAGGCTGCCCATGGAGGATACTCCATGCCCAGCTCAAGGCTTGTGTGCTGCCCCGGAGCCAGGTCTGGCAACGGAGAGGAGGCAGCAGAGGGCACAGGGCTGGCTGCTGCTGGTGGGACCATTGCAGGGATGCACATTGCATGCTCCTGCCTGCACATGGTGGTCTCTGTGCCCTGTCCCCTACGGGTGGGAGCAGACCCTGAAGCTGAAGCCAGTCCCTTCCTGGGCAGCCCAGCCTCCCAGTGCCTAGCTCCGGGGGGTCCCAAGGGCAGGGAAGGAAGGAGGGCTGAGGGATACTTGCCCACGCATGACCATGGAAGGGTACCAGGAATGACAAACCTCACTTTGGCATCACATCCACCCACCGGTGTCTGCCTGTGCTAGGAGGTTGAAAGGAACTTGGGAGAAGAGTCTGATTCCCCTGCACCTCTGAGGAAAAGCATCCCAGGAGAGATTCCTTCCCTCTTCCCACAAAACCAACACGGTTAAAAAGAGAATCACTGTCACATGGCTTTTGGTTGCACGCTGAGAAGCAGATGCTGCGTCCACCAACTCACGGTGCGGGAAGGGACTTGGCTCTTGTGCTTTGGAGAGTGCAAAAATAGATGGAGGCGGAGGTGCATTAACGTAGGGGCTTCTGTGTTTCCCATATGAACGTGTACACACACGTGTGCTGTAGGGTCACTGATGGAGCCCATCAGTTGTGTCCCTAAGGGAGCAGCAAAGATCATCAGGACCTTGCCACACATCAGCTGGAGCCTCTTGGTTCAAGGCAGAGAAGAACCAGCTCAGAAAGTCATGGTCACACACATAGGAAAGGGTGACTTACCCCTGGGAGGGGGTCACATCCCCTCCAGGATGACACCCCGTGTGTGCTGTCCTGCTGCAGCTCCTCTTGGCACAAAGCATCCAGGTACAGCGTCCAGGTACAGCATCTCCTCCAGGGATGGAATCACCCGGTGGAAGAGGACAAGCATTACTGAATGGTGATGCCTTCAGAAGGGAGCTGATGTGCTCTGTGCCCCATTGATTCGACCCAGACCTGCTCAACTCCCATATCCTTGTGCACACCTGAGGAATCAGTGCCAGGAGTGGTCCCACAGGGAGACCCTTGTGAATGTCACCGCAATTCTCCAGTGCAGGCAGTGAGAGCCATTCACAGCAGTGATCGTGCATTCCATTTCCCTTCCTCCCTTCTGGCTGTGTTACTGACTTCATGACCTCCAGGTCCCTGTTGTCCTCTCTGGGCTCTGCAGGTTTCCCATGGCTTTGGTGCATCCTTCACAAGGGCAGAGCAAATAGGAAAAGGAGCAATGTGGGTGAAAATAGCAAAGATCACCTCATCCTGGGCTGGGGAGGAAAGGGTGAAGCCGAGCCTGGGTGGTTCTGGATTTACTGGAGCTGGATGGCACCTGGGCTGCATCATTGTCAGGTTCCCACGTGAGGAACATGTCCTCCAGCAAGGTGTTGAGGACACAGAGTGCTGCAGGGGAGATATTTGAGCCTTGTGTTATGGACACAGTGTTCTCCAGACTCAAAGCATCCCTGAGGTGGCTCTTACCTGCACTGAAGGACACCAGCCAGGCTTTGTCTCCTGTAAGTGAAGTTATCCTGTGCATCCTCAATGGGGTTGATGGCCTTCCTGCCATCCTCTGCTCCATGGAGCCTGGTTTACTGGGGACTGCTTGAGGATGGAGCGCTGACACCTTGAGATCCCTGCTGAGGATGCTCAGATCCATGCTCCACTATTCAGTCGTGGTTATGTCTATGCAACATTCACACTGTCTTAAGCAATTAGTTAATGAACCAGCAAAAAGCAGTTGCCAAGTCAACCCAAACCAAACATGTTCCTCTTGGAGATGCAGCGTGACAGCTTAGAGGAGAAGTAGGTCTTGAGCAAACCTCACTCTGGGCTCCTGTGGTCCCTGCCTGCAGCATCCCTCACCCATCATGGTGCTCCTGGTGGATGTGGTTCCACTGCTTCCACCACTGGTGGAGGTCAGGGCTGCTCACTGGGTTCCAGGCTCTTTCTGAAGCAGGATAACGGGCTTGGGGCATCCCAGATGAGTCCATCTCAGCACAGGCTTTGTGTGGGCACAGACAATGGCAGGGTTGGTTCCTCTTCCCCCACAACCAGTTGGAGACATGGGGCTGGCTGCTGTTGCCCAGCCAGCTTGCTATAAATACCATGGGCTAAGCCTCTTGGAGTGATGTATAGGCTCAGGTCCTACTAGGCCACTGTGTCACCACCTTCTGGCCCTGCTTGGAAATGATGCAGTGGGTCATTTTCATGCCACGTGTCGCAGTCCTCCGTTGTCAGATGGGATGTGCTTCCTTGTCCATAGGCACTGATGTTGTCTCTGCATTGGAGGATAAGTCCAGAGCCGTCTGTATTGTGTGTTCTTGGTAGATATTGGAACTAAAATCATTCCAACCTGAAGGAATCAGATGCAGTGTGGTAGGTCCAGACAAGCCAGGTGTTGAAGGCACTGGATGAGATGCACATATGCATTTTTTCCCCTGGTGAAGGTGAAAAGCTTGGCTGTGAGCATCACCCACTGATGCTAGAGTCCAACAGCCCTGGCTGGCCAGACCACCTGGGGACATCGATGGCAACCTCTGACCTGCTAATGTGGGAACACAAGAGCATCCCACTTGGGATGGAGATGGGCTACCTCCTGTTGCTCATGGACCACTGTCCTGGTGCCAGGCTGATGGTTCACAAGAGGTGGCCAGGCTTGACTTGAGGACCTCAGGGAATGGAAGGGTCTCTTGCTGGTCCTATAACTTCTCTTGAGTGTGGAATTGGATCATAGAATGGTTAGGGTTGGAAGGGGCCATAAAGAATTGGCTTAAGGATGCTCTCCCTGGCATCGCTCATCCTTGATAGCATCAAGACATCAACAGCAAAGTATGTGCTGGCATCCTTTCTCCTGGCTGGATGTGCTTGTGCCAGAGGTGCTGCTTAGGAACTGCCCTGCTCAAGGACAGGTCTGGTATCTTATCACATCTGGCCTTGGCCAAGCCCTTGGTGCCTCATCCATCCCCATGTGCTCATCTCCCACCCAGCAGCAGATGCAGGGTCCTTGTTCAGAGATGCCTGGGTACCTCCACGCTCCTCCCCATGGTGTGAGCAGTGCTCACGTCCTGCCCAGCATCCCATCCCCACTCCAGTGCCAGCAGCCACATGAGCCAGAACAGCTCCAGGGATAGGCTGCACCCTCCTCCATCTCCTTTGCACCCCAGAATTCCCACATTCCACCCTTTCTGTGCCACCTCTGGGGCTCCCATATCCTGGGCTGTCCCCTCTTGCTTCAGCAATGGAGCCTTTGCACCAATGGGCCCCACAATGCTCTTTCCCAACCTCCTTCCTTCTTTCCTTCCCCTCCCAGCCCTAGAGCAAAGCCATCACAGGGGCAGGAAGACTTTTGACAGCCAGACCCTGACCCTGGTCTCTATCCGTGGGGCACCACCATGGCCCCTGTGCTTCACTCCACATAGTTTGCAGTTGAGGTTGTTGGGATGGGACGGAGGGCGGGAGCTGCCTGTAAACAGCCCTGTTATTCCTGGAGCCTTGCTCCGGGGAAGGAGCCAAATGTGAGTAATGGAAGGAAGAGGAGGGATGCTCTGGCTGGCATCCCTGCTTCCCGACCGTGCTCCTGCACCAGTGAAGGACCAGAGCGCAGGATGGGGCCAGGCTCCTGCCTATGGGAGAGCAATTCCCGTTCCACGTTTTTGCTGTGTGGATGACCTGGATTCAGATGGGCAGCACATACAGGTGCAGGCAGCAGCTTTTCCCACCCCAGCCGTGCCCAGCTCCATCCCCTTTCCATGGCCATGCAGCCCCTTTACCGATGGAAAGGCTAAAGGATGTGACCAAGGGCAGGCAGGACTCCAGGTTGATGGCCAGCATCCTTCTGGAGCATCCCATAGGCAGACGTCACTGGGAAGGAGATGATGTGCAGCGGCTGCCTCCAGAAGCTTTGTGTCATGGTTTATCCCTGGGGGTAACTCAGAACCACGCAGCCGCTTGCTTGCTCCCCCCCAAAGAGACTGGAAGAAGGGGGCAGACACTTTATAAACCCAAAAGGAGCTTTACTGGGGGACCCAAGGCAGTGACACCTCAATAGTGGGCTGCACATAGCACATGTGTTTAATAGCATAGAAACATTCCTTAGCTGGGTTTTAACTGGGCATTTCACTCTCTGGTCCTGGAAGCAGAGGCTCAGAGCAAAGCCCTCCAGGGCAGAAAGCCAGGGACAAGCACCATGGGGAGGACATGGATGCAGATTCTCCCTTAGGATCGGCGGGGCAGTTCCCAGCACATCCCTGCTGTGCGAGGGGTGATGCTTCACACACCGGGGTACAAAAGGGACCTTCAGGGACCCCGCAGTGCAGATGTTTTGCAGCACATGTGTCTGGCAGGAGGGCAAATACTGATTCTAGCAAGGCTTGAAACCCCCTATCCCCCAGTCCAGCCCCACAAGGGACACCCACTGCACCCCACTCCTCACATGGCCTTAACCTGCGCCCCACAGGGAGCAGCCCCACCGGCACCCCATGGTGTATAGGTGCAGGGTGGCCATAGGGCCGAGGGGTGCGGGGGGACCCCCGGCTGCTGCTGTCCCTGTTGGTTGCATAAACCCGGCCAGCGCAGGAGGTGAAATGGGATTTGGGGGATTACAAGGACCAGGCTGAGGCTGCTTGAGTCTTGTTTCTAAAAGGAGCTCTTAAGCCCTTGTTGTTTTCCTGGTGCTTCAGATTAGGGCTGAGACATGGAGGGGGTGGGACCCCCCCACAGTGATCCCATAGCTCCCCACTTGCTGTGGGCTCTGCTGTTAGTGCCAAACGAGATAGAAACAGGGCTGGGGGTGACCAGCCCTCCCTGGGTACCCCAAACCCATCCCCATCTCCTGCTCCATCCCTAGGAAAGGTGCTGGGGAGTGGGGCTCACCATGGGTTGGGGGTTCAGCGCCTCCCATGCTGCTGTCAGCAGGTCCTGGGGTGCAAAAGCGGGGGCTTGGGGTGCTCACCCTGCCCTGTGCTCCTTTCCTTGCAGAGATTATGCACGATGTGATCCGGAAAGTGAAGAAGAAGGGAGAATGGAAGGTGAGCATCAACCCCTGCAAGGGGGAGAGGACAGGAGGAGGAAGCAGGGAGTAGGTTCAGGCAGGGAGCTCCTGAGGATGGGCAAGGGATGAGGAAGGAATGGGACAAAGATGGGGAAGGGATGGGAAAGGGGAGCTTGTGGCTGCCCCTGGTGCCCCAGCTCACAGCCCTCTCTGCAGGTGCTGGTGGTGGACCAGCTCAGCATGCGGATGCTCTCCTCCTGCTGCAAGATGACCGACATCATGACCGAGGGCATAACAAGTGAGTAACCAGCTCCCAGCTCAGCAAACCTCACTGTGGGAAAGGCAAAACCTCCCTCTTGGGCCTGCAGAGACATCTCCAGGCTGGCCCAACCCAGTCCATCCATGCCCATCCCACTTGGGATGGAGCCGTGCTACCTCCCGTTGCTCGTGGACCACTGTCCTGGTGCCAGGTTCACAGCCTCCCTCCTTACCCACTGGGGCCGGAGGAGCCCAGACACCTCATTCCCTGGTGGTATCTCAGTCTGAGGAGGAGACAAGGTGTTATCTTCTAAATAGCTCCCTGCAGCACTCAGAAAGCAGCAGAACACTCTAGGCTGTGCACTGGGAGGTTTTGCCCCAGCCTGGGTACCACAGAAGCATCACCTGCCCCGGGCGGTCCCCTCCAGGTGAGGGATGTGAGAATAACCCAAAGCAACAGCAGGATGGGAGCACACAGACAAATCCACTGCTTACCAGTACCTCCACACGGCCCCAGGGGTTGGGACTCCTGGGTGGGCAGTGGTGAGGGGTGTTGCAGGGCCGGTGGGATGTCCAACAGCTCCTGCCCTCGCCCATCCCTGCCATGGTCCTTGTTTTCCCCCTCTCCAGTTGTGGAAGACATCAACAAGCGCCGGGAGCCGCTGCCCAGCCTGGAGGCCGTGTACCTCATCACCCCCTCCGAGAAGGTGAATACACAGCGTGGGGCTGGGGGAGGCAGTGGGATGCCCACGTGGGGCCCATAGGGAGCATCTTGGCTCCAGCGAAGCCTATGGTGCGATGGAGCAGAGGCTTGGAGCATGCCTCATGCCGGGAGGGAGGATGCTGGTGCCATCCCCGTGCCCAGCCCAGCCGGTCCCTTCTCTCTTGCAGTCCATCCACTCCCTCATCAACGACTTCAAGGATCCCCCCACCTCCAAGTACAGAGCTGCCCATGTCTTCTTCACTGACTGTGAGTACCCGGAGGGGAGGGAAGGTCCCTGGCACTAAAGGCATGCAGGGATGCTGGGATGCTGAGCTCCTCCTCTCCCTCCCCTCATAGCCTGCCCCGATGCCCTCTTCAATGAGCTGGTGAAATCCCGTGCTGCCAAGGTCATCAAGACCCTGACGGAGATCAACATTGCCTTCCTCCCTTCCGAGTCCCAGGTGAGGCCGGGATGGGGCAGCCAGGGGATGCTCAGGCTCCTCCTCCAGCCCCTCAGGGTCTGTGTCACAGCCTCACACCCCAGGCTGGCTCCTCAGCCCCTGCTCAGCCATTCCTCCCTGTCTGCTTTGATTACTTGCTGGGGCTATTGATCCCTGTTGGGGATTTAGCAGGGAGCCAGCCCGCCTGGGTGAGTGGATGCGATGAGGGGGACCGCAGGGACAGATGGTGCTGGACCTGCTGGTGCCATTCACCCTTCAGTGTTTGGGGGGGGACAGCGGGTGGAAGATGAGCTCCTGGCATGTCCAGTTCTGGGCCCCTCACTGCAAGAGAGACATTGAGGTGCTGAAGCGGGGCCAGAGAAGGGCAATGGAGCTGGTGCAGGGCCTGGAGCACAAGTGTGATGGGGAAGGGCTGAGGGACCTGGGGGGTTCAGTCTGGAGAAGAGAAGGCTCAGGGGGGACCTGATCGCTGCCTACAAGTGCCTGACAGGAGGATGGAGCCAGGAGGGGCTGGGCTCTGCTCCCAAGGAACAAGGGATGGGACAAGAGGAAACGGCCTCAAGCTGCACCAGGGCAGGTTTAGATGGAGCTGAGGAACAATTCCTTCCCCAGAGGGTGCTCAGGCATTGGAACAGGCTGCCCAGGGCAGGGCTGCAGTCACCGTCCCTGCAAGTGTTCACACAGCGTGGAGACGAGGCCTCAGTGCCATGGGTTAGTGGTGGCCTTGGCAGTGCTGGGAATGGTTGGACTGGATGGGCTTAAAGGGCTTTTCCAACCTGGTTGGTTCTGTGATCTCCACACACAGCCAAACTGGCTTCTGGTCTTTACCAGGGGAGCAGCGTGTCCCCAGGTCTCTGCCCCTGCTTGGGGCAAACGAGTGCTGTGGGAATGCCTCTGCTCACGTTGCGTGTGGGTAAGGACCATGCCACGGAGCTGGGGAAGACCCCGGGGACCACAGAAAGCCCAAAGGATGCTCCGAGCATCCCTGAGCTCAGCTGGGGTTAAATCCAGTTCCCAAACCCACCGGGGCTGCTCCCCCCCCTCTGACCCCGCTCCTGCTGCTCCTCCAGGTTTACTCCCTGGATTCAGCTGATTCCTTCCAGAGCTTCTACAGCCCACACAAGGCGCAGATGAAGAACCCGATCCTGGAGCGCCTGGCGGAGCAGATCGCCACGCTCTGCGCCACGCTGAAGGAGTACCCGGCCGTGCGGTACCGGGGGTAAGGACAGCACCCACTGCACCCCCTGTGCCCCTGCACCTCTATGGACATGGGGACACATCCTCATCCCCAGCACAGCGGAGCTGGGGCCATGCTGAGCGTGGGACATGGATGTGGCTGAGGACAGTGTGGGGATGGAGGAGATGGGGATGCAGTGCTCAGTGTAAAAGTGCCACAGACTTAAGGATGCTCTGGGAGATGGGTTGGGATCCTAAAACCCAAGTGGAGCACTCCAAGGGGGGGTGGGATTAGGCAACAAAACTCGCTGAGGTGCCTCCTGTCCCATGAGCAAAGGGAAACCAGCAGCTCCTCCCCATCCCATGCCGCTGCCCCGGGGAGCTGACCTCTCCCTCTGCTTCCCGCAGGGATTACAAGGACAACGCCATGCTGGCACAGCTCATCCAGGACAAGCTGGATGCTTACAAAGCTGATGACCCCACCATGGGTGAGGTGAGCAGGGACGAGGGGAGGATGCTCGGGTGATGCTTCACTCCTAAAGTCCCACTGGAGCTCTCAGTCGCAGTCACAGACCCCAAGTGGGGACCCCAAAGTGTCCCTGGCATCCCCCAACTGCCTGTGGGGCTGGAGGCGCCCCTGGCCCCACTGCTGATGGTTCCCCCTGTTCTGCAGGGTCCAGACAAGGCTCGTTCCCAGCTTCTCATCCTGGACCGTGGCTTTGACCCTGCGTCCCCGGTGCTCCATGAACTGACTTTCCAAGCCATGAGCTACGACCTGCTGCCAATCGAGAATGATGTCTACAAGTGAGTGCAGTGCTGCTGGCCCCAGAGTCCCCATGGTCCCACCCAGGGCATGAGGGGCAGCGGGATGCTCATTCCTCCATCCGTCACAAGCCATTGGTTGGGGGAAACCATTCCCACCTGCAGCATGGCAGGGAATGATGGGTGGCAGTGATGCAAAAGGGGCTTTTCTTGCCTTCAACCCGTGGCTTCTTCCTAATGTTTAGCAGCTGAAGGGGAGATGTGAAACTGAGTTGAAGCAACTTCACCCCGCTTCTGGCAGAGCCGAGAAGAGCCCCATGTCATAGAGTCATGGCATGGTTTGTGTTGGAAGGGACCTTAAAGCTCCTCCAGCTCCAACCCCTGCCACGGGCAGGGACACCTTCCACCAGAGCAGCTTGCTCCAAGCCCCTGTGTCCAACCTGGCCTTGAACACTGCCAGGGGTGGGGCAGCCACAGCTTCTCTGGGCACCCTGGTCCCCCACCTCCTTTGAGCCCAGGCACCAAGGGGACATCACATCCCTACAGGCCCCACTGTGATGCTCCCTGTCCTCTTCCCAGGTACGAGACCAGTGGCATTGGGGAAGCCCGGATTAAGGAGGTTCTCCTGGATGAGGATGACGACCTGTGGGTCACCCTGCGCCATAAGCACATCGCCGAGGTGTCGCAGTGAGTGTCCCTGCTTGCTGGCATTGCCACACAGCCCTGTTGGTGTCCCTGCTCCCTGACAGCGCTGTCCTCCTCTCCCCAGGGAGGTGACCCGGTCCCTGAAGGAGTTTTCTTCCAGCAAGAGGATGAACACAGGCGATAAGGTGACAACTGCATCCGCCAAGCTGGCGACGGGCACATGGGGGTCTCCTGGGGGACACCCGATGGGGACCTCTGCAAAGGGTGCTCAGGTCTCCTGACGGGGGGAGATGGCTCTGGGGTGCTGGACCCGGGTCCTAGGTTTGGAGAAAGGAGGTGACTTTGGGGTCAGTTTGCCCCTGGTATGAGGGCCATGTGGGTGCCTCTGGTTCCCTGAGCTGGTGGCAGTGAGGGGGCCGTGGTGAAAACAGGATGTAAAAGTGGCCAGAAGCTGGAAGCTCCATCTCAGCCTCAACCAAGCACACTTGGGGGGCAGAGGAGGGTCCTCAGGGGGGTTCTTCCCCCATCACTGCAGTTTGCGGAGCTGCCAATGGCAGGTCACCCCCTCCCTGCTCCTGGTCCCCCAGGGTGAGTGACCGTGGCTCCTTCCCTTGCAGACCACCATGAGAGACCTGTCCCAGATGCTGAAGAAGATGCCGCAGTACCAGAAGGAGCTCAGCAAGGTACGAGGAGGGTGGGATGTCCATGCAGAGAGCCCGTCTATGGAGCAGGCTCTCTCTGCAGGGTCCCTGGCCATAGGCAGGGGCTTGGGGTGGTGGCACGGGGACCCTTCGCTGGTGGTGACCACAGCACTCGTGTCTCCCCAGTACTCAACCCACCTTCACCTGGCTGAGGACTGCATGAAGCACTACCAGGGCACGGTGGACAAGCTGTGCCGAGTCGAACAGGTACCACCAGCCCCACATCCCCAGTGGGGACAACTGGAGCTGGCAGCTCCTGCCCCACAGCTCAGCACTGAGCCGTGGGCTGAGGGATGCTGTGTGTTATCTGCAGGACCTGGCCATGGGCACCGATGCGGAAGGAGAGAAGATCAAGGACCCCATGAGGGCCATTGTCCCCATCCTGCTGGATGGGAATGTTAGCACCTATGACAAGATCCGCATCATCTTGCTCTACATCTTCCTGAAGAATGGTGAGGAGGACACATGGACAGTGGTGGCGAGCAGCTCAGGGTTCAACCAACATAAGCCACATGGAAAAGCTTCTGTCACCCTTTAGAAGGCTCATGCTGGAGGGAGAGGCCCCATATCCCCAACCACCACCGGTCCCACTGTCCTGGGGTGGCAGTGGAGGGGTTGTGTCCCTCATGGGGAGGCGTTTCTCAGGAGGACACCATCTCCCTGTTTCATTTCCAGGTATCACTGAGGAGAACCTGAACAAGCTGATCCAGCACGCTCAGATCCCAGCTGAGGACAGCGAGATCATCACCAACATGGCCCACCTCGGGGTGCCCATCATCACAGACGTGAGTGTCCGCCTCCCACTGCCCGTGGTCCTCCTTGCACGGCCCCCGGCGTGCTTTGGGATGTGCCTATCCCATGGGGTACCCCCAGCACCCCTGTGAGCTCCCGCACCAGTCTCAGGGTGTCTGTGTTCTCCCTCTGCCCAGTCCACCCTGCGCCGCCGGAGCAAGCCGGAGCGGAAGGAGCGGATCAGCGAGCAGACCTACCAGCTCTCCCGATGGACCCCGGTCATCAAGGACATCATGGAGGTGAGCAGCAAGGACAGGGATGGAGCAGGAGCCTCAGCACCGCCCGGGAAGGGGCTGCAGAGGACCATGACCTCTCCATGGAATCAGCCTGGTTTGGGTTGGAAGGGACCTTAAAGCTCGTCTGGCTCCAACCCCTGCCACGGGCAGGGACCCCTTCCACTAGAGCAGCTTGCTCCAAGCCCCTGTGTCCAACCTGGCCTTGAACACTGCCAGGGATGGGGCAGCCACAGCTTCTCTGGGCACCCTGCTCCATGCCCTGTTTGCTGCTTGTGTGCCATAAGGGCACAGTTGGGTGGCATTATCAGAGGGGTGTCCCAGCCAAGCCAGGGAACAGGCATGGCCCCATCAGGAGCTGCCCCTGGACATGGCCAGGGGACCCCAGGCACCAGAACTGCTCCCCAGCATGGACGGATCCCACTTGCTGAGGCACAGACCCTGGAGCCACATTTGGGGAATAGAATAGAATCACCGAATCATAGAACAGTTCGGGTTGGAAAGGAGCTTAAGATCACCCAGTTCCAACCCCCCTGCCATGGGCAGGGACACCTCACACTAAACCATGGCACCCAAGGCTCTGTCCAACCTGGCCTTGAACACTGCCAGGAATGGAGCATTCACAGCTTCCCTGGGCAGCCCATTCCAGCGCCTCACCACCCTCACAGGAAAGAATTTCCTCCTTATATCCAATCTAAACTTCCCCTGTTTAAGTTTTAACCCGTTACCCCTTGTCCTATCACTGCAGTCCCTAATGAAGAGTCCCTCCCCAGCATCCTTATAGGCCCCCTATAGGGAAGGGGCCATCCATGCAGTCAGTGCCACCTCTGCTCCCAGGCACCACCAGCAAGCAGTGCTGCAGCTCCAGCAATTCCCACAAGCCCATAAAAGCTCACCTGGAAGCCCTCTGGGGTGGCTTCGTGCCCAGGGAATCCCTAAACCTCATCTTCAGGACCAGAGGGGACTGCAAAAGGCAGCATCACCTCACCAGCTCCATAATCACCACTGAGTAAAGCAGGAGCAGGGCCCTTACTCTGGGGGGAATCCTACCCTGTGCTGCAGTCTGTGCTGCCCCACAGCATCACATCACCCTTCTCACCCTAAGTGCCCCCTATGACAGGAACACAGGCAAATTGTCCCATTAATTCAGCCTATGCAAATATATGCAAATGAATCCTGACCTAAATGGGCCAATCCTGTCAGATGCAGTGCTATGGAGGGCCTCTTGGCTTCATGCCTGCCCCTTGCTGACCCCATCTCTCTGCCCACAGGATGCTATTGATGACAAGCTGGACACCAAGCACTACCCATACATCTCCACCCGCTCCTCCGCCTCCTTCAGCACCACTGCTGTCAGGTGGGTACCGAACCCCCTGCTCCCAGACACAGATCCCTGCATCACTGACAGCATCCAGCCCTCATCTGTGCATCTGCGAGCTGCTCTGTGCTCATTCAGGCATCCTGTGCCTCAGTTTCCCTCTGTGCAGCAGCACTCGTGGCTGCACGTGCTCTGACAGCAGCTTGGGACATAACTGTGGAATCAGACTGGTTTGTGTTGGAAGGGACCTTAAAGCTCCTCCAGCTCCAACCCCTGCCACAGGCAGGGACACCTTCCACTAGAGCAGCTTGCTCCAAGCCCCTGTGTCCAACCTGGCCTTGAACACTGCCAGGGATGGGGCAGCCACAGCTTCTCTGGGCACCCTGTGCCAGTGCCTCAGCACCCTCACAGGGAAGAGCTTCTGCCTAAGAGCTCATCTCAGTCTCCCCTCTGGCAGGTTAAAGCCATTCCCCTTGGCCTGTCCCTACACCCCTTGTCCCAAGCCCCTCTCCAGCTTTCCTGCAGCCCCTTCAGGCACTGAAGCTGCTCTCAGTTCTCCCCTTCAGGAGCCTTCTCTTGTCCAGGCTGCCCCAGCCCAGCTCTCTCAGCCTGGCTCCAGAGCAGAGCTGCTCCAGCCCTCGCAGCATCTCCATTTCCTCCTCTGGCCTCGCTCCAGCAGCTCCACGTCCCTCTTGTGCTGCTGCCCCAGAGCTGGATCAGGGCTGCAGGGGGGGACTCCCCAGAGCACAGCAGAGGGGCAGGATCCCCTCCCTGAGCTGCTGCTCATGCTCTGCGGGTGCAGCCCAGCACATGGGGGGATCCTGGGGTTCTGGGATGCTTTATGCCCATCCTTCACCCTCCTCTTCCTCCCTTTAGTGCCCGCTATGGCCACTGGCACAAGAACAAGGCCCCTGGCGAGTACCGGAGTGGTCCCCGCCTCATTATCTTCATCCTGGGCGGTGTGAGCATGAACGAGATGCGCTGCGCCTACGAGGTGACACAAGCCAGCGGCAAGTGGGAAGTGCTAATAGGTGAGTGGGGCCCTGTCCCTGCGCCCGCCGCGCTGGCTGCTCATCCCACCTCCTCCATCCCGCCTGTTCCTGCCTCCACAGCACTGTGGGAGCTGGAATGCTGCGGAAAGGGTTCCTCCTGCCGCCCGGTGTCACCCCTCCGTCCCTCCTCCCCAGGGACTGCCTTGGCTCCCAGTTTTCCTCTGCCTGGCTGGTTTTGGTCAAGCAGAGCTGGGTGAATGGGAAGGGGGTTTTGCAGCTTGCATTGCTCCTGTCAGCCCCATTGCGCCATCGGCAGTGGGGTTGTTCCAGGGAGGAAACGTGCAATAGGGGTGTGCAGCTGCACGCAGTGACCACGATGGGCACTGTGTGGGCAGCAAGAGATGCATTTTCGGGTTGCACACACGCTGCATGTGCAGTGCATCAGGAGGTGCATTTTCCCATTGCAACACCTGTGGGACAGGATGTGTGTTCAGCTCCTGGAGGAGCCGTGGGTCAGGCGTGGAGGACACGGTGGAATTCCTGCCAGATGTTAGCAAGGAGCTTTAGGTCCCTTAAAATTCCACCAGAGAAGCACGGCTGGATACACATCTTGTGGGGCAGGAGCCCCTCACCACCTCAGAGGTGCAGAGCCTCTTGCCGGCATCTCATCCCGCTCCTTGTATTCCCTTGGGAGCAGGAGCCCCCTCTCCATCACCTCCCGCAGCCCCCCGGGACCCAGCACCGCTGCCCATCACATCCCACCTCTCTCTGGGGACCATCCCCTGCATGCGCCTGCGATGCTCTGGGTGGCAGCCGCGTCCTTCCTCTCCTCACGCCGGCGCAGGGTGTGGGGGGGGCCCGGGCGCCGCCGTCAGCCCCGCTCTGTTCTCCTGCAGGTTCTACTCACATTCTCACTCCCACCAAATTTCTCATGGACCTGAGGCACCCCGACTTCAGGGACTCCACTAGGGTATCATTTGAGGATCAGGCTCCAGCAATGGAGTGAGCCAAAGAAACCAAGTAAAGGCAGCTTACTGATGAAAAAGAAACTCTTCCTCCCTGAAGGGTTTTCTTTGATTCTTCCTCCTTTCTTTAATTATTATTACTGGGGGGTTCGTTTGTTTCGTTCTCCAATAGGAAAATGCTTGCAAGTTCCTCCTACTAGGTGGAAAAGCATCCAGCGCCGCTCCATCATCCCTCTGCCATGTCTCTTGGCCAGTCCTGGCCGGCTCCTTCATGCCATGAACTCCCCCTTTGCCAGGGCTGGAGGGGCTGGGGGTGGTGGGTCAGGGTCCAGCAGCAGCATCGCAGGGTCAGGCAGGGGTATGGAGCATCCCGGGATGCTGCCCACATCCCACATCCAGCACTGGGGCTGGAGGTTCAGTGCCCAGGGCAGAGCCTGGTTGCTTGTCTTGGCTCCGGCCCCTCTCATCCCTTCCAGCAATAACTGGGTGCTGCCATGACCCCCCTGCTCCCAGCTCCAGGGTGTGATGGAGCTGAAATCCTGATGGGAAAGTTCAGGTTTGCTCTTGTGGTCCCTTTTCCAAGGCTGCCGGTGAGGCCATCATGGCATTCCCATGAGCCATGTGCTGGTGTGCACGGATCCAGGCAGGCTGCAAGGGCAGCGAAAGGCAAGAGCCCTTTACCTCCTCCTCTCCCACCCATTCCCTTCCCAGCCACCCCTTTGACCCAAGGATGCTCTGTGCAGGCAGGGGAAGAGCCTGGGGGCTGGAGAAGATCCGTTTGTGCTGCCTGCCCTCATCCCTTGTGGCTTTTTGGCATCCCCCAAGTGTCCAGGAGCATCTCCACTGACCATAACCCTGCTTCACAGTCACCCCCGGCCCCTGCCTCATCCCACCCTGCTCCATGCACCTCTTCCACATCTCCTTTGCCATTCCTTTCCCATTATACCCTTCCCAAGACATACATTTCCTCGCAAGCATTTCCACTGGCGTGCGGGGCTGTGGCCACCAGGTAAGGCCTCGCTTGGGGCGGGGGGACGGGACCGGGGAGAGCACGGACATGAACCGGGGCGTCACTGGAGCATCCCAAAGCCATCACTGATGCTCCCGCTCCATTTCTTCTGCCCCGCAGGGTCCACGCACATCCTCACCCCACAGAAACTGCTGGACACGCTGAAGAAACTCAATAAGACAGAGGAGGAAAGCAGCAGTTAAAAGGAAGCGCTGCCGCCGCCGCCGCCACCACTCGATGCCGAATCCAACCTTCCCCCTGGGTGCAAGCAGCACCCGGCCCTGGCCCGGCTTTTGATCTTGTTCTTGTGTTGATTCCCCCCCCATTCCCCTCCCAGCGCTTTCCCAATCTCATTTTATCCACAGGGAGGGGACAACAGCCCAAAAGGAACACATTAAACCCGATGCGTTGCGTTGCAAAGAGGAAAAGAGCACCAATTCTCTCTCTATTTGTAGCTGCAGCTATTGGGAGCACCCAGGAGCTCGTCACTGAGTGCCCATCAGCCCATTGCTGGCCTTTATCCCAACGCTCCTCCAGGGAATGTGGTTCCATGCGGATGGATAATGGGTGAACACCCCCCCCATGGCTCCAGCCTCTGCCTGTCCCTTCCTGTTACGGGGTGGTGGGTGCTCCTGCCAGATGTGCTCGCCAGCATCTGGCACGGAGGGCGGGGGGGGTAATCAGGCTGCACCCGAGATGCTTCACGCTGTGGCAATTCCCATGTGAAAAGGGACCAAAATGGTCAAAACCTGGAGATGGGGCCTGTTTGCTTGTATGGCTGCTCCTCTGCCCTGCTGCAGCCCCCCCTTCTCTGGGACTCTCTATATATATAGAAAGAGAGAGATATATATGACAGAACCCCTGGATCTGTACATATATATCTCCCTCTCCATCCATCCCCATGGAAGTCGGCGCTCCTGTGCCTGGCTCCTTGTGTCATCCCGTGGTGAAGCATCCCTGAGCGTGCCGTCACCCCGAGGCCCCCCCCCCCCAGACTCTGTGTATATTAATGACTGTGTCTGTGATGTTCTTACAAGCTTGGTGTATAGTGATTTACCCAAACCTTGGGTTTTTAGTTGGTTTTTATTGCCCCCCCCCCCCCCCCCTTTCCCCTGCCGTTAGGTGCACTGCAATATTTTGGGGTCCATCGTTTTGTTCTTGAAGGCTGTGACCCCCCTTTTCCTTCCCTTAAATCTCTTTCTTGCCTCGTTGGTGGTTCCCCCCCCCAAACCCTTTCCTTCCCCATCTATTCCTTGCCCATAAAGTTAAATATATATTTTTAGGGCAAAGGCTGTATCATTGCACTGATCTTTGTTGGTTCCTCCTTGGTCCTCCCGCCCTGTTTGAGTTCCTTGGTTTTAGCAATGCAAATGCTTCAGGATCTTGTATGTTGGACATTATTATTATTATTTTTTTTTCTGTTAACAGTTATTTATATAAAAAATAATTTATCAAAAAGGAAAACTTTAAAAAAAAAAAAAGAATTAATCTAGTCTGTCTTGGACCTTGTTTACCTTGGAATTACTGGAATCTAAATGTTGGAAAGTGTTGAAGCACAAACATGTATCATCTCTGTATATCTGTTCTGTACTAAAGCACTCGAGTGACTCAATAAAAGCGATCTCCATCCCTAGTGCAACCTGCCTGTGCCGTGCTGCTTACTCAGGGGACAGGGAAATCTCCTCTCCCACCCCCAAATGCTTCCAAGGGGAAGGATCCTGGTGCGGTGATGCCGAAACTGGCCCAGGAAGCGGTTTGGGAAAGGAAGGCAAAGCCACAAAGCAACCAACTGCCTTTATTTTGTTCAAAAATAGGTGATCCTCTCAGTACAAAATAGCAGCCAAAGGGCTCTGCTTGGCCTTACAAAATCAGAGATACGCTAAATAACATCTTCTTTGCTCCTGGCTGGTGCCCTTGGGAGAGCTGGGTATGGCTGCACAGGCCCTGTGTGCTTCCCAGCTGGGACACTTGGGACACAGGGATGAGCAGATGCAACCAAAGACATAGAAACCCTCTTTAAAAGCCCCTCTGTGTGCCCCAATTCTCTCCCCCCCATTCCCAGCCCATCACCACAACCTGGGCTGGTTGCAAGGTCTGGGCTCAGTGGCTTTGGAGGGGCTCTAAACCTGAGTAACTCATGGGGGGCATTTGTGATCCCCCCCCCCACCAAAGGGATGCTTTGTACAGCCACAGTAAAATAAAACATGGGCACTTCAGGTAGGTCCTACCTATAAACACAGCCAGGGGCTCCCACAGGCTGAGATGCTCAGGATGGAGCAGGGGGTTTGGCCAGACCCATGGGGTGCTGACCCCTCTGGGCTCAATCCTGCCCCTTCATGGGTCCCACAGGGTGATTGCCCAGAGCCCAGAGTCCCTGGGAATGCCAAGGAACAGTCCAAATCCTCCTCGGTTTCTGTCAGGATGAGACAGGGGGGTTGCCACATCCAGGAGCAGCCAAAAACACCCCATAACAATGCCCTAAGGATTATGCTTGAAATTAAAATCAGAACATATATGTATCTATATATAGATGCATATCTATATGTACTATAGCTATAGATACATATCTATATATACTATGCCTGTATATAGAAACATATCTGCATATACTATATAGACACATATCTAGATATAGCTATAGATACGTGTCTAGATATAGTATATCTATATATAGATACATATACATACACACACACACAGGCTATACCATCAGTCAGCCCTTACCGAATGACTGAGCTGTTTCTAGCTACCTTAAAGGAGAAAAAAATCACATAAAATCACAAAAAGAAGCATTTTTCGAGGGAAAACCCAGCTGGGTTCAAGTCCAAGGGCAGAGCAGAGGGTGGAGAGGGGCTCCCAGACCAAAGCTTGGGTATGACACCCCCAAAAGAAGCCTAAAGTCTGGAAAAGGGGCTAACTTAGGGAATTGCATGTATTTCTGCCTATGCAGGCATGGAGGTAAACACAGCTGCCACTGGGGGCTGTGTTGTGGTAGGACCTACACAACGTCAGAGCAGCCCCAGAAGTGTTCAGCTCAGGGGGCGTGTCTGCCCTGGGGGACATGGGGTCACCCCATTGGTGCCAGGGGATGGTGTGACCCCAGTGGGGCTGTATCCCATGGGATGCTGCAGCTCTCAGGGGACCTCTGCCCCTGTCTTGCCCCAACTCTTGCAGCGTGGCTGGTCCTGAAAGTGCACACACAGATGGACAAAGTGATGCAGAAGGTCTAAGGCAAGCAGGATGGAGATGGGAGCCAGGACCCCACGGCGATGCCTCCAGCCCCAGTGCCCCCAGATGTGGCAGGGAGCATCCAGTGCAGAGATGCTGATGAAGGGGGACACCATCCTCCTCCTCCTTCTTCAGGATGCTCAGAAGAGGCAGGAGTGGCGCAGGCCCCGTGCCTGGCTCAGCTCAGCCGCCAGCACCCGGCTCATGCGGGTGGTGGTGACCCTCACGTTCCGGGCAGCAGCCATGGCCCTGCTCAGGGACCAGTTCAGCTCCTCCAGATCCAGGGGGAGGCAGCGGTGGGGACCAGCGGCAGGGGAACGGGGGGGATGCTCTGACCCACACTGTCCCATAGTGTGGGGTGAGGTAGGTACCACCGGGGAGCAGTAGCTGCAAAGAAGAAGGGGACAGGGGGTTGGCTTTGCTCCATGGGTTGTGCCCCCCCTTTGCCTTGTTTCTCATCCCTCTCCCCCACCTCATGCATCTTCAACCCCCAGCACCCACCTCCACACACTCAACCCCATGCAGTCCCGTTCCCCCCCCCCCCCCCCAAAAAAGGAGCCAGGGGCTGCATGACCCACCCCAGGCACACAGCCCCTCTGGGGTTCACCCCCCTCCCCAGGACATGCTGACCTCACCCCAGTCCCCCCCACCACCACCGCAGAGCGTCCTTACAGCACAGAGGGTGCATAAGGCACGATGGGGACTGGCGCCAGGCAGCCGATGGCAGCGCTGGCACCGGGGCTGGCCAAGTACCAAAGTCCAGGTTGCTCCAGCTTCTGGGCTCGGGGACCAATGTGGGAGCCTGGGGATGATGTGGCACCAGGGCCGTGCTCTGCTGTGGGGAGAAGGTGGTTAGATGCCCCCAGGGGTGTTTGATGTCCCCATGTGAGCCCCCCAAGTGCCACATTGGGTTGGATGGGAACAAACGAGCCCCATGGGGAGCACTTCTGTCTCCAGGCAATCTGTGCCAAGGGTCCGAGGGGTGATCCCTGCTCCCCACTCCCCACCCCTATTGCAGGGACAAGCCATGTGTCACCCACCGTGCGTGGCTCCATCAGATGAGGGGGCACCCATGGGTGCCTGGCAGGCAGGGCAGCATGTCCTCCTCGGGGTGCTGTGCTGGGGCTGCCTCGCAGCATCACCCGCCTGCCCTGCTGTGGAGAGAGGAGCCAGTGTATCCAGGAATGTCCCCACAGACCAAGCAAGGGGGTTGGGGAAGTGCAGACCAGTTTGGAGGAGCAGTTGGGACAGGAGGGGAGCCTTTCCCTGCAAGCTGCAGTGCGGGCTGCAATGGGGGATGCAAACTAGGGGGGGGCTCAGCAAAGCCCTCTGCAGCCACAAGACACAGCAATGCCCGGCTCTGTGCTGCCACCCACAGCAGGCTGGGTTAACCTTTAGCTAAAGGACAAGGCTTGGGACAGGCTCCCACTGCTCCCAGTGGCTGCAGCAAGGAGTGGGGAGAGCCCCAGACCTTGGGGAGCAGGCCCACAGCCCCTGAACCTCTGTAATTAATGAATGAATGGATTAATTCAATTAATGAATTGAGAACCCACTTGCAGCACTGTGTGCAGTTCTGGTGTCCCCAGCATAAGAAGGACATGGAGCTGTTGGAGCAACTCCAGAGGCCACGAGGATGATCAGGGGCTGGGAGCACCTCCTGTATGGAGACAGGCTGAGAACACTGGGGCTGTTCAGCCTGGAGAAGAGAAGCTGCATGGAGACCTCAGAGCAGCTTCCAGTGTCTGAAGGGGGCTACAAGGATGCTGGAGAGGGACTCTTCATCAGGGACTGCAGTGACAGGACAAGGGGTGATGGGTTCAAACTGAAATGGGAGATTCAGGTTGGGTCTTAGGCAGAAGCTCTTCCCTGTGAGGGTGCTGAGGCGCTGGCACAGGGTGCCCAGAGAAGCTGTGGCTGCCCCATCCCTGGCAGTGTTCAAGGCCAGGTTGGACACAGGGGCTTGGAGCAAGCTGCTCTAGTGGAAGGGGTCCCTGCCTGTGGCAGGGGTTGGAGCTGGAGGAGCTTTAAGGTCCCTTCAACACAAACCAGGCTGGGGTTCTCCAATTCTATGATTTAAAGTCATCAGCAGCTCCATGAGCTGCACGAGGGAAGGGCAGAAGGGGCTGGGAGCTGCTCCAGGGTCACTCACCCGATGGAGCCCTGCTCCAGCGGCACCGGGGGCCCTCAGGGGTGCGTGGCTCTTCCCGCGGTGCTGTGCTGGCTCGTGGCACCCCTGCCTGGTACCGTGTCCCTGCCAAAACACAGCGTGAGCACCCCAGTGTGGCGGTGAGCACCCTGCGTCCCCAGCGCTGAGCACAGTGACACCCACCTGTGTGCTGTCCCCGGAACGTCACCGCATCTGGGGGGCTCCGGGGGGTCTTCCATGGGGAGGGGGTGACCCGGGGTCCAGTGGGAGAAGGGTCTGACTCGGAGGCTGGGGTGGAGGAGAGGGAAGCAGGGTGGGATCCAGTGCCCCACAGGTACCAGGTCCCAGGGGGTCACCAGGAGCTGCAGCCCCATCAGCCCCACGCTCCCACTGGGACACTGTCCCCATGCTGGTGGGGTCCCACTTACTGAGGTCCAGTTCTGGCCTGTCCCGTGGCAGTGACACCGACCTCCCCCTCCTCGTGGGGGCCACCCTGGGGGCCATCCTGCCCCGCACCGGGGGTCTCGGCTCCCTGGGGAGGGGACAGAGCTGCTGTCACCACATAGACACCACAGTGCCCCCGTAGGCATCATCCCCCCAGCCCAACCTCTCCATAGTCACAGCAGGGATGGGATGGGATGGGATGGGGTGGGATGGAGTGTTCCCACACCCATAGGCTATGGTGCTGCCACCCTCCCACCCAGCCCAGGGTCCCTTTAAGCCACCTACCCCACGGGTGCTGCGGCCTTGGGGGACAATGGTGCACTGGTCACCGGCTGCCTCCTGCCCAGGGTGACACGCGGGGGGGCTTTTCCCTTGGGATAGCTGTGGGAATGCCGCAGGCTCTCCTCCAGCCGCAGCCGCAGCCGCCACACCTCATCCTGCAGCTCCCGGATGGCCTGGCTGCCGTGGGACAGAGGCCACGGTGAAGGGCATCTCCAGCCAAGCAGTGCTGGGAAGCAGCTCCATGCTCCCCATCCGCACCGGCCAGGACATGCTGTGATGCTCCCCAAACCCAAGCTTAGGGCTTGACTGGGCTGGGACGGGGGTCATTCTCAGCCACCCCACGCACCATGAGCCCAATCTAGGTCCAGGCTGTCCAAGAAGGACAGAAGCATCTGCAGAAGATGCTGATACCTTTGGGAGCGTTGCTTGGTGGGGTCCCTGCACCACGCAGGGGGGTTCAACTCGGTTTTGGGGTACAAACACTCACTCGCGCTCCAAGCGGGAGCCCAACAGATCACAGTGAGCCAGGTCGAGGGATGGTGGGTCCAGGGACAGCAGGGTTGGGGACGGTGCTTTGGGGGATGCTGGGGGGCTGGCTGGGCCCCTGGTGGTGGCCGGGGGGCCACTGGTGCTGGCACAGCTCCTGCCTTCCACCTCCGAGTCGGTGTGAGCTAGAGAAGGGGGAACATCATGAGATGAGGTTGGTGGGGTTGGGGTGTCCCCCCCCGGAGAACCCATGGAGAGCAAGCAGCAGGATGAAGACAACCTCAGGCCAGAAGCCCAAGGGGGTTTTGGGGGGAACACCACAGAGCCAGAGGCCCCCAGATCCCAGTCCTTTGGGACACATAACACTGCCTACTCACTTCCAACACCACCATGGTCATGTCCTGCCTCGCTGCTCGGGCTCTGAGTCCAGTGTCGGGGGGAGCTGCTCTGCGAAGGGGTGCTGGGGGGCCGGCAGGTCCCTCCTGTGGTGCCCATCACCGTGGTCTCAGAGGGAAGTGGTGTCACCTCTCTCTTCCACGGAGGATGGAGGGTTGCAGGGATGGGGATGGAAGGTCCCAGGGAGCCGGGCTTCCTGGGGATGGAATGGGTCATGAGGCAGCCCCCATGGCTTGTCCCCCAGCCATGGGTCACCCTGCACTTCTCCACCCCCCGAGGCATCCCTTCCCTGCTCCCCTTCAGCACCCCAAATCCCCCACAAGAGCCAACAGCCCATGTCCCCAACCCCCCCAGTGACAGTGGGGACCCTGAGCTGTACCCGGTGCTGGGGGGCCGGTGCTCGGGGGTGCGCACAGGGGGTGACACCCTGCTGGCCTCCGAGCCCACGAAGCCGCTGTCCGTCTCTGGTGACACAATGCGCTGCTCCTGCAGGAAGGGGAGGGCAGGATCAGTGCTGAGCACCCCCCGACAGGGTCTGGGGGTACCCCAGCACATGAGGACTCACCTTGTGGGGCCGGCACTGGGTGCCAGCATTGCCCACCTGGCGGGACAGGGGTGCCTGGGGCGCCTTGGGGAGCCCCAGGCAGGTCATGGCTGCAGATGGTGGCTCCTCAGTGGTGGGGAGGGGCTGGTGGCCCTGTGCCCCCCCCGGCCACTGCAGCTCCCTAGGGGACAGTGGCACCGCTCTTCTCTCCAGAGGGTGCCTGCAGGGAGAGGACAGAGCAGGAGTGATGGGGCAGAGCAAGCCCAGATGTGGGGAAATGCCCCGCTGCAGCCTGGCTGTTAACTCTGAAGCCTATCAATAACAGCCATGTCAAACCTGACCTAAAACCTCCCACTCGCCCTGTCTGGGGGACCTGGCCTCCCCCAGCACTTACAGGGGAGAGGTCTCGAGGTCAGAGCCCTCCTCCAGTGACCGTGTCCTGCAGGGGACCTTGCTGGGGCCACCATCCCGTGCCCCAGCTCCATCTGCCTCCTCTTGTGACCTGCTCTCTGCCAGGCTCAGCTGCTCCAGGCTTAGCGACTCCGGCAAGGACTTGAAGTGCTTGTACCTGGGGGGGGTACAACACCCACAGGCAGGAGCTGGTGGTTCTGGGGTGCCGCTCGCTGCCCGCACCCCTGACAGGACACTCACTGCTCCAGCAGGTCCCCAAAATCATCCTCCACTTGTTGCTGCTTGTGCCAGAGGGGCTGAGGCAGCCCCTCTGTCACCAACTCAGTGTCCCCCGCTGTCCCCTGGGGTCCATCCATCACCATGGGGCTCTGTAGGGCACAGCAAAAGGGGGGGGTCAAGAAGCATGACCCCATCCCCACCCCATCAGCTTTGCCCCCCTCAGCCCTGCCCAGCTCACCTCGGGGTGCGGGCAGCGGGTGGCTGATGATGGGGAAGGGGTTGGGGGGGATTGGGGCTGGTCCAGGCGCTTGGAGGGGAGCTGCTGCCTGCCCCCGGGCTCCAGCCGCTCCTTCAGCTCCTCCAGGCGCAATCCCAGGTGGAAAATCTCCCTTTCCACAGCACTGTAGGACACGGAGCATCAGTGCTGGGAGGCGCCGGACCCATGGCACCGGGAGAGGACCAAGCACTCACCGCTCAGGGTCAAAGTCCCCCAAGGCCCCCGGGTGCTGCCGCGCTCCCAGGTACGCCTGCTCCAGAGCATCCTGTGCTTCCTTCAGCTTCCCAAAGCGCTGCAGCACAAGGGAGGAAACACCCCAGCCTCAAAGCTCGGTCCCTACCACCCTCCTATTCCATGGGCGCATCCCCAGAGCTGGTGTTGGGAAGGGGCTGATGTACCTGGAGCTGCTCCTGCCGTGTGGGCTTTCCTGCTTGGCTCCAGCCTTCGAAGGAATCCACCTGCAGGGAGGGAAAGGGATGAGACCAGCCCTGATGCAGCCCCACACTGCAGCAATCCATTGCAGGCAACCGACCACTGCCGCACCCCAATGCAGCACCCCAATGCAGCACCCCATTACCACAGCACGTCAATGCAGCACCCGAATGTAGCCCCACACCACAGACCCCATCACAGCCCCAACGCAATCCCCACTGCAGCCCCAATGCAAACCCTACCACAGGCCGCAATGCAAACCCCATTGCAGCCTGATGCAAACCCCACTGCAGCCCCAATGCAAACCCCACTGCAGCTCCAATGCAAACCCCACCACAGTCCCAATGCAAACCCCACCGCAGCCCCAATGCAAACCCCAATGCAAACCCCACCGCAGCCCCAATGCAAACCCCACCGCAGTCCCAATGCAAACCCCACCGCAGCCCCAATGCAAACCCCACCGCAGCCCCAATGCAAACCCCACCGCAGCCCCAATGCAAACCCCACCGCAGCCCCAATGCAAACCCCACCGCAGCCCCAATGCAAACCCCACCACAGTCCCAATGCAAACCCCACCACAGGCCCCAGTGCAAACCCCATTGCAGCCCAATGCAAACCCCACCACAGTCCCAATGCAAACCCCACCACAGGCCCCAGTGCAAACCCCACTGCAACCCCCAGGGCAGCCCCAATGCAACCCCCAATGCAACCCCCAGGGCAGTGCCCATCACTTGCCTGGGCCTGCAGCTCCTGTGCCTGCCCTGCCAGGGTCCGTGTCAGCCGGGTCCCGGGGCAGCAGCAGGTCCCCAGGCAAGTGGGGCAGCCCCCCATGGCTGTTGGGCTGGGAGAGGGTTGGGGTGCTCCCCCCTGCTCGGGAGGTGCTGGAGCTGCATGAAAACGGGAGGACATGGGGGGTCCCTCTACAGCAGTGGGACCCCTCCACGCCGTGATGGATGGGGACCGGGTCCAACCCACCTCCACCCAGCGAGGACACCGTGGCCGCGCTGAACGTCGCCGTCCTGGCCTGCGCCATGCTGAGGGCCAGCACCCTGCTGCCGGCGCCCATGGCGCCCATGGCCGGGCTGCGGCTGGGCTGCGGCGGGTCCGAGTACAGGCTCACCTGGCGGAGGGAACAGGAGTCAGGTCCCACCCTGCGCCCGCACCCCGGCACTGCCCCCGCCGTGCCCGCAGCACCCAGGAGCACCCACGCTGCGCCCCTGACCCCGCTTCCCCATCCGCACAGGGCGGGAGGGGGCCATGGCGACACGCTGCCAGCCGCCATCTTGGGGGTGGCGTTGGCCCCGCCATGGAGGGCAGGGGGCCTCAAATCCCATCCCTGGGCTGGGCTTCCTCAACCGCAGCTCCCCGGGAGGAGGAAGGCGGCAAATAGAGAAGTGTGGGAGCAGGGAGTGGAGGGGACCCGGCCCCTCTGCTCGGAGCTCTGTGTGCGGATATGGGGCAGCAGCACAAGAGGGACGTGGAGCTGTTGGAGAGAGGCCAGAGGAGGCCATGGAGATGCTGCGAGGGCTGGAGCAGCTCTGCTCTGGAGCCAGGCTGAGAGAGCTGGGCTGGGGCAGCCTGGAGAAGAGAAGGCTCCTGAAGGGGAGACCTTAGGGCAGCTCCAGTGCCTGAAGGGGCTGCAGGAAAGCTGGAGAGGGGCTTGGGACAAGGGCCTGTAGGGACAGGCCAAGGGGAATGGCTTTAACCTGCCAGAGGGGAGACTGAGATGAGCTCTTAGGCAGAAGCTCTTCCCTGTGAGGGTGCTGAGGCGCTGGCACAGGGTGCCCAGAGAAGCTGTGGCTGCCCCATCCCTGGCAGTGTTCAAGGCCAGGTTGGACACAGGGGCTTGGAGCAAGCTGCTCTAGTGGAAGGGGTCCCTGCTGTGGCAGGGGTTGGAGCTGGAGGAGCTTTAAGGTCCCTTCAACACAAACCAGGCTGGGATCCTATAACCCTTGGCAGGTGGGATCAGAGCAGGGACCCCCCCCCCCGCCAGCCCTGGCACTCACCCTGGCACCCAGGCGCAGTTGGTCAATGGTGTTCTCAGCCTCAGCGTACTTGGTCAGCAGTTTGTGGTAGTCGTCCTGCAGGGAAGGGACACGTGGGATGGCCTCCAGCATGGGGACGGGGGCTTGGGGGGGCAAAGGGGGATGAGGCTCAGAAGGAGCCATGTCGGGACAATGGGTTCTTCCATAGGGGTGCAGAAACCCAGCCCCAAAACCCCCAGCCCACCTGGTGCAGATGTGGCCCCAATGGAGTTCCATATCCTCCCAGGGGCAGCCACAAGCACCCCAGTACCAGCGGGCATCGGTGTTTGGGTACCAGCACCCTGGGCTTGGGGACCACGAGCATCCCTGCCTCCATCCCCCAGTACTGCCCACATGCCTGCCCGGGTGATCAGCACCAAACCTCTTATGAGAGACACAGGGGGGCCATTTCCCCCTTCCACACCCCCCCCACACCCCCATTACGGCTGAACTGGGGGTGCCGGGCATTACCTGCAGCTGCTGCACCAGCTCGGTGGCTTGCTCGGGGGACCTGAACCCATGGGGCAGCCCTGCGGTGGGGGGGGGCTGCGGGGGGACCCCCTCCCCGCTGCTCAGCAGCACCTCCCGCACGATCTCAGCTGGGGACTTGAAGCCGATGCTGGGTCCCGGGGCGCTGGGCAGGGCTCGGCCCCGCGGTGGTCGGTAGCTCCGGGTCACCTTCACCCGTGCCTCCACCTTGGAGAGGTCGGGCAGGGGGTGGTTGAGCTGCCCCTGGCCATAGCTGGTGCCCATGCCCGAGGGATTCCTCGCCTTCTTGCTGCCACCGTGCTGCCGCCGGGGGCCCAGGGACTGCCGGGGGGGTAGCACCTTGGGTGCTGCCTTTTTGAGGCCCCGAGGTGCAGGGGGGTCCCCAGTGCTCTGGGGGGCCATGGTGGGTGTCAGGCTTGGCACAGGCTTGGTGCTGGTGGCATCATGATGATCCTCGGTGGAGCAGCACAGCAGGATGCTCTGCTTTGGGGTCCTGTGCCCCCCTCCAGCATCCCACTGAGACGGGGTGGGAGGGCCAGGGCTGGCATCTGACAGCCCCGAGGTGTTCCCCCCATCTGTGCTGCAGCCATGGGGCTGGCAGAGAGCCCGGGGACCCCGCAACGGCTCGGGGCTGCTGCTGAGCCCCGAGCCCCATTGTCCCTCATAGGAGAGCTCGGGGTAGGGGTCCCCATCACTCTCTGCCCCCCAGGGCTCCTCATCCCCACCACCAAAGCTGCTCTGGTCCTCATCCTCCTCCACCAGGTTCTGCTGCGGGTGCCAGCGACCCTCCTGCACTGGGGACCTCTCCTCCAGGTCCTCTCCATGGCCTGCAAAACACCAGCACCGCGGGGCTGCTGCATCACCCCGGGCCTCTTGCGGCCCCCCTCTGCTCCAGTGACACCCCAGGAGGGGCTGTGGGCAGTGGGGAAGGGACAACTCACCCCATGGTGGGCTCCCGGCGTCATCCCCCAGGCCGATGACCCCATACTCGTCCATTTGCCTTTGGAAGCCGTCGTCTTCCTCCTCCTCCTCCTCCTCCTCCTGCTGCTGCTGCTGCTCCTCTCCCTGCCAGCGCCTCAGCTGTGTTTGTGTGCGGTGCAGCCATGGTGCTGGGCTGGCCATGGCCCGCGGGCACCGCGGCACCATCACTTGTGCAGCTTCATGGCCCGGCCGTGGCAGGCTGGGGACATCCTTGCCGTGAATGTAGGTCACATCCTCACCGCTGCATCCTGACGGGGGTGAGGGACAGGGGGGGTGCTCAGCAGGACACAGGTGGGTGTTTGGGGTGTCCCCCCCGCTGCTGGTGCTTCCCCTCTCCCCCAGAGCTTGGGGACAAGGGCAACCCCAACAATGGGGGTGACGTCCGACTGTATCCCACTGTGAAGCTGGAGCTGCTGCATCCTCCATGGCCACAATGGTCCCCATGAGGAAGGAGGCCCCCAGGGGCAACCCCAAAAAGCTTTTACCCCCCACCAAACCAAGGCCATCAGAGGTGACACCCAACAGCATCCCACCATGAAGCTGGAGCTGCTGCATCTCTCAAGGACACAATGGTCCCCAGAGGTCTGCATGAGGAAGAAGCCTCTCTGGGCCACTCCAAAAGGCTTTAGTCCCCCCTCCCCAGGGTGGGTATCAGGGAGCACCCAGCCCGTACAATGACCCTATGAGCATCACCCCACTGAGGCAGCCACAGCCTGGGGACCATTATCAGGAGCACCCCGCTGTCCCCCCGGCTCTGGAGGGCTGACACAAGAGGGATGACAGCAGAGACCTGGCACACTCACTCCACTGGTGACCCAGAAGCAGGAGCTCAGCCTCATCCCACTCCTCCCTCTGCACCTCGAGTGATGCCGGATGCCAAAACCCAACCATGGGGCGGGCAGCAGGAAAGGCCCTGGGGCTTCCAGCCATTCCCTCGGGTAGATCTGAGCCCCCCACAACCCCGCTTTGCCCATAGGGAGGTACAGGTGGGGTGCACTCACCTGCACCAGCATCCATGAGACAAGCTCATCACTGTGACCCCTTTGAGGGTCCCCAAAGCAGCCTTGCTTTGAGCACCCTAAAACCTCTCTGCAGCCGCAGGGTTGTTGTAGAAGGAGGAAGCAAAGCTTCCTGTGAGCTTGCAGGTGGCTGCAAAGCTCTTAACCCCATCAGACCCTGAGGGAGGGCAAACCCTGCTCCCACAGCGCTTTCCATCCCAGCCTTTGGGGTTTTAAACCAATGAGGAGCACGATGCCAGAGCAAAATGTGGGGGGGATCCCTGGGACCAGCAGCAGCCTCCATAAAACACCAAGATGCCAAGCAGCCCCCAAATTCAGCATTCAGGCCCCCAAATCCAGGCAGAACCCCCCCAAACCCTCCCCGAGGTGCTGCTCCAGCCCCATGGCTGTAGGCCCACGGCCACAGCCAGGTAGCACAGCCCACCCTGGCTCCCTCCCAGGCAGACAATTAATCCAGCTCATTAGTGTGTAATTAGCAGCATGTGGGGAGGCTGCATGAGCTGATGAAACCACAGCGCGGGTCTGGGGTGGCTGCATTCAGCAGGATGCTGCTGAGCAGGAAATCAACCTATGGCACCCACATGCTGGGTGAAAACACTCCTAACCCACTGCAGTGCCTCGGATCTCCTGATTCCATGGCTTAAATCCCGCTGTTGATGAGGGTTTGGGGGCTGTTTGCCGGAGGTCCTCAGCATCACCCTTGTACCAGCAGCGCGCTCCCAGCCGTGCCCGCATCCTTTTGCAGGGCAAGGAGCAAACCCCAGAGCATCCCTAAGGGCTTGCAGACCTGCTGGGGTGTTTGCACAAGGCTTTATCCCACACCCTGGCTGAGCAGCTCCTTTCTCCACTCCATGGCTTCTGCTGACAGCAGAGATGGGGCTGCCCATGGGACGCTCCAGGCTCTGCGGCTGCTCAGAGGAGCTAAAGAGGGGTTTTGGCTTTTGTGAAAGGAGCTGGTGGGTGCTGTTGTCTCAGGGCAAAGAGGGTTAAACTGTTTCCTACCAGGTTTCGGCAGGCTGGTGCCTGGATCATGCCCTACCCACACACCGAGGGCTGTCACCCCCATTCTCCATCCCATCCCCAACCCGTCCCCAGAGCTGCTCTGCCCGCAACAGCCACAGGCGGCAGGGTCTGCTGGCAAATCCAGCCACGCTCATCACTAGCCCAGGCAGCGCCTCCGGCAGTGGTCACAGCGGGAAGGGAGAAAACTTGGGATCTTGTTGGGCGCTGTTATGGTAACACAGAAAAGGCGGACAAGTGTTGTCAGGAGCCACAAAGTGAATGCAAACAATCCAAGCGTGTTTGTTTGTGTATCTTGCTCTGGGAAAGCCAGGATTTTGCAATAGGGTGATCACAGAATCCCGGCCTGGTTTGGGTTGGAAGGGACCCCAGAGCTCCTCCAGTTCCAACCCCTGCCACGGGCAGGGACACCTTCCACTAGAGCAGCTTGCTCCAAGCCCCTGTGTCCAACCTGGCCTTGAACACTGCCAGGGATGGGGCAGCCACAGCTTCTCTGGGCACCCTGTGCCAGCGCCTCAGCACCCTCACAGGGAAGAGCTTCTGCCTAAGAGCTCATCTCAGTCTCCCCCCTGGCAGGTTAAAGCCGTTCTCCTTGGCCTGTCCCTACAGGCCCTTGTCCAAAGCCCCTCTCCAGCTTCCCTGGTAGCCCCTTGAGGCACTGGAAGTGCTGAGTGCTGCCAGGTCTCAGCACACCCAGCAGGCAGGAGGGGTTACCTCTGCCCATCCCTGCCCTCACCTCTTAATCCCTGCTCCTCTTTAGGCATCTTCAACCTCTACCACTCCAATCCCATGGGACTGATGAAGGCTGAGAAATTCCAACTCATTCTATGTGTGATGCAGAGCGCACACAGCCCCATCAGGGCTCCTGGCTTCATTAGTGGTGACAAGCCGAGGAGACTGTCACATCCTCAGCCTCGGGGCTTGCTCGGTGCCATGGAAGGGGGGAGACAGGGCTGTCACTCTGCCTTTGCTGCCTTGTCAACCCTGGGTGGTGCGGATGGATTGGGGGGGTGCTAATGCCCACTTCCATCCACATGGCAATGGGGAATGATAATCCCTATGCCCTAAAATAGACATCCCTTGCTCTAGGAGGGGGTTAAAGCCCCCTGTTGAACCCCAAAACAGGCTTTACCTCCTCCCCCCAAGGCAAGCAATGGCTATTTTAGTCTCCTAAACCACCCATTCCCATCCAAAACTCAATTCCAGACAGCATTCAACCTCCCACGGGTCTCCTTTAGCATCTCCATGCTCCCCTTCCCCTCCTCAGCTCCCTTTTTATCTAAGACACATCCATGCTGCCACCCAAAGCATCTCCTTTGGTGGGTTGAAGGAAGCCAGAACAACAGCCTCAGGATGAAGTTTGGCACTCCAGGAGGGAGGAATTCCTGGTTTAAAAACCCTTTCCAAGTTCGTTCCTGGTTTATGAGCATGAAAGAGGGCAGAGAGGCTGCTTGCTTAGTATGGGAGAATCCATCCTAGTGAGGAAGAGCCTCACAAACCCTCTCTGTCCTCTGAAAGCACATGTGCCTGTTACTGCACCACTGCTCTAAACCCCATGGGTCACCCCATTCCTCTGCCTGGAGGGGCCAGACCCCTCCAGCTCCTCCACACCAGCAGATCCCCACGGAGAGGCACCAAATCCCTGTGGAAACAGCATCTCTCCATCACTTCCACAGAAGCAAAGCCCCGCGGTTCTTTCCCACCTCCTGCCTGCTCCACGAACCCTCCTGTCCCCAACACGCGGTCCTGTCCTCAATAGGAACAGCCTTGTCCCCATGGCATAGCCTGGCAAGATCCAGGGCTGAACCTCTCCTTATATACAGGAGCTGGGGGCTGCTGATGGCAGTAATGCCTTGCAAAGGGCGGCCTTAATCCCTGTCTGGAAAGAGCCGGCAGCAGAGATCCCGTATTAGCTGGATTTGGGCGCTCTCCAAGGGGTCCTTTAAACATCCCTGCCCGGATGGCTGCTGCAGAGCCACAGAAACCCGGGCCCCGCTGCCGGCACCCCCCGGAACAGAGCTGCCCTTTAAGTAAAACAAGGAACTGAAGCTGGAGGCAGCGGCCACTTCCTCGCAGGAGCCGCAGGCAGCGGCACGGCCTCGCATCCCGCAGCCTCCGTGCGAGTGAGCCCCGGCCACGGCTCCGCGCCGCCCTTCGCAGCCTGATGAAACCCTCCGCAAGGCTCCGGAACCCTGCGGGCGGCAGAGCCTGCCCTGGGCGGGGAGGCAGCACCGGAATAAGAAGAGTTCTGACAAGTTTCCCAAGGGCCACCAAGGCTCCGGTGGCCTGGGGACAACGTGGGCAGAAGCGGCGCAGCGGCACGAAATCCCAGCCTGGTTTGGGTTGGAAGGGACCCTAAAGCCCATCCAGTCCCAACCCCTGCCACGGGCAGGGACACCTCCCACTAGGCATGACCCGCATTCTCCGGGTGCATCCCCTCGGCTTGGGATCCCCCGCTCCGCCCAGGGACCCCTAGCCGGGCTCAGGAGCGCCGAGGACTGCAGGATGCGGCCCCCCGGGACGGGCCCATCCCCGCGGCCCCCAGCTGCGCATCCAGCTGTGATCCCAGCGGTGCCCGGGGGTCCTCTCTTTCCCTCCAGCTGCGGAAGGAGCCTCGCAGGGATCAGAGCGAGCACATCGAGCAGCGGCGCCAGCCCCATCGCCCTGCCCCGGCCCCCCCGAACGCATGTGGGGAGCACATCTGGGCACCGCTGGAGGAGCACCACCGCCCCGCGGCTGCTCACCTGCAGGGAGGGCCCGGCCGCCGGCTCCTCGCCCGATGCGGGGCGGCTCCGCACCGCGATCACTATCGCGACTACGATCGCGATCACGGCCCCGGTCCCGCCGCAGCTCCCCCCTGCCCCGCCCCGCGGGACAATAGCGCGGGCCGCCGGCGGCGGCGGGGCGGGGCCTCCGCCCTCATTAGCATACCGACGGCTACTCGCCAATCGGAGAGCGCCGCAGAGCAAGAAATGGGAAGTCGTTAGCATAAACCCCGCCCTCCCCTGTATTTGCATAGCCCGCGGCGGGAGACCAATCAGAGGGGCTGTCATTATCATAATTTATGCAGCGCCGGCACCCCCTGGTGGGGAACTCCTGCACCCGCCCCGGGACGGCTCTGGAGGGGATGAGGATGGGAATGGGAATAGGGCGGGATGGGAATGGGAATAGGGCAGGATGGGAATGGGAATAGGGCGGGATGGGATGGGATGGAGCACCCGCAATGCCTGGGATGGCCCGGGCAGGGGGTGGGATAGGTATAGGGGTAGGATGGAGCATCCCTATTTCCCAGCATGGCCCGGACAGGGGATGAGACGGGATGGGAGCACCCCCAATGGCTGGGATGGCCCTTGGCAGGAGATGGGGAGGGAGCACCCCTTTCTGGGGATGGCGCAGTTTTCTCTATGGCTAACACACTCCCACCTGCCCTTGCCAGCACGCCATAGCCAGCCCTGTCCATTCCCTTCCTGCCCCCCTTTTCCAGCCCGGAGGAATCCCGCAATCCCAGCCTTTGTCTATCCTGATCGGTTTATTGAAAAATTAAAGCACAAGCTCTGTCTATAGAAACACAAGGATTCTGCCAGCGATTTACAAGGCCTCCGGTTGCTCCCTCTGCATCCCCACCTATGGCTGTGCCACCCGCCTGGGCCAGCACCCGAGGGAGCAGGGACCACCCAAACCCCCTCCAGCCGGAGCCGCGGGCCCACCTTGTGCTTTGTGTGGCACTCACATGGCAGCGGGGACACCCGGCCCTTCCCCTGCCCTCCTGCCCCACTCCCACCCTGGAGAACCAGAGGATACTCCCAAAGGGCAGCGCCCCCCACCCCGATCCAAGAGACATTATGGGATGTGCACTGATTTCTGCCCGTTCGCAGCCTGCCCTACCCAGGCATGAGTCTGCAGCAGGAGAGGGGACACTTGGGGACAAGCTGGGGGGTGTCTGTGCGTGCGGGATGGCGCAGCGGGAGAGGGCTCCGCGGGGTGGGAATGCAGCTTTCCCGCCTCGGCGCTGCCTTCCGCTCCTATTCGGGATGCTCCCCATCCCAAAGCCTGGATCCCTAAAGGGCGACGTTGAATTCTGTGACCAAGAAATCAATGTAGTCCTTTTCCTTCAGCTTAAAGGCCTCGGCGATGATGCGCGCGGCTTCCCGGTGCTCCTTGCCCCGCAGCCCCGTGCCGTTCACC